TCATCTCGGCTGATCTCGCGGACCAGATGAGCCGCTCCTCCGGGGAGAGGTTGCCCTCGGCAAGCTTCGTCTCCATCACGTACATCTTCATGTGCTCGAGCATCTTGCTCTCGCCGGGCGCCAAATCCGTGCGGCTGCGTGCCTGCGACGGGGGGTTGGCGGGGCGACGGGGGGGGGTGGCGGGGCGGGGGTGGCGGGGCGGGGGTGGCGGGGGAGACCCCGGGCCCTCTCGGCGCATCTCGGCGCATCTCGGCGCTGCTCGGCCAACGCGCGCGAGCGGCCGAGAGGGTGCTAGCAAGGCGGTTGTTTGGTGCGGTGGATGGGGCAAGGGGCTTGGGGAGGAGGAGGAGGTGTGTGTGTGTGTGTGTGTGTGTGTGTGTGTGTGTGTGTGTGTGTGTGTGTGTGTGTGTGTGTGTGTGTGTGTCGTCTCGGAGGCTGCCTGGCTGACGCCACGCTTCAGATCACCCCAGATCTCCCCTGATCTCCTCAGATCTCCCTAGATCTCCCCAGGCTGATGCGACGCTTCACATCTCCCCAGATCTCCCCGGATCTCCCCAGATCTCCCCAGAGTTCTGCCTGGCTGATGCCCCGCTTCATGGTCTCGAGAATCGTCGCCCGCACCCGCTCGCTCGCAGACCCGTCCGCCGCCGCCCTCGCCACCCCGGGCGCCGCCCCCGCCACTGACCTCGGCGTGGCCGGCGCGGAGAAGCCGGAGGGCGCGGGGGCGGGCGGGGGCGGGGAGGCGGCCGACGGTGCGGGTGCGGGTGCGGGGGCGGCAGCGGGGGCGGGGGCGGGGGCGGCAGCGGGGTTGTTGCGAGCTTCGCGGGCGAGCTCGTACAGCGGCTTGGCGGCGGCGGACTTTGCGGCGGCTGGTCTGGCGGCGGCTGGTCTGGCGGCGGCTGGTCTGGCGGCGGCGGGGCTGACGGCGGCGGCCTTGAACCCCCCGCCTGCGGCGGAGGAGGCGGAGGCGGGAGCGGAGGCGGCGGAGGCGGCGGAGGCGGCGGAGGCGGCGGAGGCGGGAGCGGAGGCGGCGGAAGAGGGGGCAAGAGCGGTGGCTGCCGACGCGGCGGCGGGTGTGGCGGCGGCGGCGCGCACAAGCGGAGGGCGAGGCGCCGCGTCTCTCCGGTCGGCGCCTCGCCGCCCGCCGCTGCCGCGGGACCGCTCCACTGCCTGTAGGGCGCGCTTGCGCAGCAGCTCGCTGCCCTTGGGCTTGAAGGCGGTGAGGAGGAAGAGGGAGCGGGCCTGTGGCCCCAGTCTCGCGGCGTGAGGGTGTGGGCACGTGGCGTGCGTGTCTAGGGAGTGTCTAGGAAGTGTCTAGGAAGTGTCTAGGAAGTGTCTAGGAAGTGTCTAGAAAGTGTCTAGAAAGTGTCTAGGAAGTGTCTAGAAAGTGTCTAGGAAGTGTCTAGGAAGTGTCTAGGAAGTGTCTAGGAAGTGTCGAGGAAGTGTCTAGGAAGTGTCTAGGAAGTGTCTAGGAAGTGTCTAGGAAGTGTCTAGGAAGTGGGCACGTGGGCACGTGGCGTGCGTACTGGGAGCATCGCGTCAAGACACACCGCTGCGGCGAGCCTGCCACGAGCGAACACACCGGAGCCTCTGCGCGTCGTCTCGAGGTCTCGAGGCCTCTCGACGCGCTAGTCGGGCTATTCCGCTGTCTGCCATAGCCGCAGCCGCAAGTGGCTAGGACGTGTCTAGGACGTGTCTAGGACGTGTCCGCGCCTCGACATGCAGCTCCTCGAGCCGGAGCGAGCCCCACCCCGCTGAGTAGTGGAAGAAGGAGCCAGACATGTAGAGCGCCTCGGCGGCGTCCGGTAGCTGCAGCCACGCCTGCGTCGCACAAGCCACGTGTGGGGCCCGACGCGAGGCAAGCGACGCGGCGCAAGACTGGCAGCAGGAGCTTCAGCGGGGTGCGGTCCCGTGTGCAAGTCGGATGTGCCACTACGGATGTGCCACTACGGATGTGCACATACGGATGTGCGCATACGGATGTGCCACTACGGGTGTGCCAATATACGGATGTGCACACACGGGTCTGCACAGGATGTGCAAGCCCGGGTCAGACCTGCGTCGCGTGTCTTCGGTCGAAGTCGCTGGCTCGGTCGACAGGCGGGTCTCCGGCAAAGGAGAGCAGCGCCACGCCTAACGGACGGGAAGTGCGCGGCCGCGTGCAATTCTTCTTTCGGGCCGCCGGCGGAGAGGAGAGCGGCGGTGCACCCGACGGCTTGAGTGTCTAGGAAGCGTCTAGGAAGCGTCTAGGAAGCGTCTAGGAAGCGGCACCCGACGGCTTGAGCACTCGAAACAGCTCCGCGAGGAGGGCGACTGGGTGGGAGACGTAGGGGAGGCAGCCGTGGCAGAGGACGGCGTCGAAGGAGGCGTCCGCGTACGGCAGCGGATCCGCCCCGGAAAAGAGCGCGTGCTGCGGCGCGTCGCCACCACGGCCACCGCCGCCTCGGCCGCCCCGGCCGGCCTCATACGAGCCGGCAAAGGCGTGGAGCCACGAGCGCTTCAGGCGGGGGCGGCCGATCGGCGGCGCGGGCAGCCGCGTCCCCTCGCCGTCGCCCGTCACCTCCAGCACAGCGCTCGCCCCCGCCTCGGCGAGCCGAGCGGCGTAGCAACGGCTGAGGACGCTCACCTCGGCAGCCGGCGGCGGCGCGAGCACCCACGGCGTCTGCCGCTGGGCAAAGGCGGCGTCGGTGGCCTCGTCGTACGGACACGTGGCGGGGAACGGCTTTGCCCGCAGCAGCGTCTCGACGATGGGCAGGATCCGGCTTGGGCCTCGCTCTCCCGCCGCGACGTCGAGCTCCATCGCTCGCGGCTGCGCCTCGGCGCGAGAGGCGGGCGTCTGGGGACGAAGGGGCGGGCACCACGCCTGATGGCTCAGCAGGAGCACCCAAGCGCCGCTCATGCGAAGCGAGCCTGCCGCGCTTGGGGCGCGGCAAACGGGGTGAGCGCGCGCCGGACGCTAGTCAGAAAAAGAATTTCCCTCCCCCATCCCAAACAACTGAGTGAGTGAGCCCAAACAACTGTCACTCCCCTTTCTCCCGGCCGGGGTGGGGCGCGCGCGGGGGCGGCGGGTGTGCGGCGAGTGTGCGGGATGTCTGTGGGCCCGAGAGCGATATGCCATGTCCGCCTTGCGTTGTTTCATAACCGAAGAGAGAGATTTTTAGCAATACCAAACAAATCTAACCGAAGGCTAAGCTCAAAAGAATTCTACCATACACCAAATTAACTCCTGTGTGTAGAAAAAAGAACTATCACAGGCACTGGCGCGCACTGGCACTAACACAGTTCCTGAGAAAAGAATTTTACAACAAAACTCCCTCGCACGACACTGGGCACGCACGGGACTGGCGCGCACTGGCACTACACACAGGTACACACGGGAGCCAAAACCCGTTCGCGACCTACATGCATCGTTGGGGAGCAAGCCAAGCACAATCATGCCTCGACTAACCATTACACAACCAAGCCCGTTCTCGATCCGCCGGGTCTGTCCGAACTCTGAGAGAGGCACATTAGGACGAGTTCCGTCTCCCGGTATCGTGTCGTCGTCGGTGTGCCGCGCACGGCCAGCCAGCACAGGACAGCCGCCCGCTGGACTGCTCCCTGAATTGCGAGAGACTCACACCAGCCAAGAGGTCCTCACGCCAAGAGGTCCTCACGCCAAGAGGTCCTCACAAGAGTTAGAGAGGTCCTCACGCCAAGAGGTCCTCACGGCGCAGCGGATTATCCGTCGCAGCATGGTTGCGTGCCCCTACGCCGGCCCGCCGCGCGCGTCAACGGCCGGCACGCCCTTCCCCCTTCCCCCCGTCAGTCCCGCGGCAGCGAGGCAGCACTTCGTTCGAATTAGCCATAGCCCAGCTCAAGCACAAACCTCTGCGGTAGAGTAGAAAGTAAGATAGAGGATAAGTGGTGGTGAATGTGCGTGAATATGAATGTGCGGGAACTTCTTGGTGAACTGCTATTAGTGACGCTTCACATGTCGAAGGGGATTTTCTTGCAAAGGGAGCCCCCTGGGTGCAAAGATGAGCACCAACGCACCCTGGTACTCTTTAGCTGTACTCGTCTAGGCAGGGGCTGGATACAAATCATGACTCAACTATAAAGCCATTGCTGCCAACATGCCATTTTGCACACCATCACAATCATCACCGATCATTACTCGAGTAGACCATAAGCTGACCGTGCGTCCGTGCCCAATCGCGAGGGTCCCGCCGGGTCGGTCCTGTCTGACCGAGAGGCACGTTCAGGGACGAGACTCCGTCTCCCGGTATCCTGTCGTGTGCCGCGCACGGCCAGCCTGGACAGCCGCCCACTGAATCGCGAGAAACTCACACCAGCCAAGAGGTCCTCACGGTCGCCAAGAGGTCCTCCAAGAGAGGTCCTCACGAGGACCCAGACTGAGGCTCGCGACGCGGACAGAGACCGCCCTGGCCTTTTCACTCGATGTTATTCGTCGCCACCCCACCCACTCCACAATCCGTCAGAGAGTCGCATGCAAGAGCAACTCTAGACTCAACAGAAGACGATGTTCTCTGAGGTCCTCACCTGGACCCAGCCTTGGAGAGTGAGGACCTCTTCTGTGTGAGGACCTGCTCTACCCCAATAGACTCGCTATGCACTATAGCTGGTGAGCTTCTGCTTGATCACTCCTATTAGTGCCGCGTCTCTGACACTTACACTGTCAGTCCGGCATGCACTGCACACCGGCGCGCGGATTGCGCAAATTAGCCAGAGGAAGTTCGGATCCAATCCGATGAGTGAGAGGTAACTTATATTGGAATGTGCGGATGTTTACGGCAAGCGCGGGTTTCCGGCGTTTCTTCATCTCCTTGTCGAAGGGATTTTTGAATACTTTGAAAAAGTAAAACGAATTTATTGAATTCTTTTTATCGCGATGTCCAAATCGCCGCGCCGCCGCTCGCGCCGCCTCGCCGCCGCCACCACCGCCGCTCCCTCGCCGGACACGTCGCCGCCCGCCCGCCTGCTCGACCTCCCGACGGAGCTCCTCGTACGCGCCCTCTCTCGCTGCGACCCCGTCGACATCGCTCGCGTCGCGGCCGTCTCGCTGCTCTTCCACGCCTCGCTTGCGCTGGAGGCCATCCGCTTGTGGGCGCAAGAGCGCGGCATCGAGCTGCCGGCGCTGCCGGAGGGCGAGCTCTGCGCAGTGCGGTGGCTGTGCTATTCGGCGTTGCTGCGCGCGTCCAACCCGCCGGCGAGGGCGGCGGCAGGCGCCTTCCACAGCGTCTTCATCGACGGCGAGGGGCGGCTATCGTCGTGCGGAAGGGCTGAGAACTGGATGCCAGGGCTGCTCGGGCACGGCGAGGGCATGATGCGGCTCAACGCGCCGACGCGTCTGCCGTCGTCGATGGGTCAGCGCGCCGTGAGCGTGGTGGCTGGAGATGCGCACAGTCTGACCCTCACCGCCGACGGAGCTGTCTGGAGCTGGGGCTATGGAGGCGGGGGACTCTTGGGCCACGGCGACGAGGAGGAGCAGTGGCAGCCCAAGAAAGTTGAGGCCTCTGCTGGGCAGAAAATTGTCGCTGTGTCGGCTGGAGGCAGCCACAGCCTCGCCCTCTCCGCCGACGGCGCTGTCTGCAGCTGGGGCTATGGAGCCTTTGGCAAGCTGGGCCACGGCGACCAGCAGAGCCAGCTGCTGCCGAAGAGGGTCGAGGCCTTTGCGGGGCAGCGCGCCATCGCAGTCTCGGCTGGAGAGCGCCACAGCCTCGCCCTCACCGCCGACGGCGCCGTCTGGAGCTGGGGCGATGGTTTGCGAGGCAAGCTGGGCCACGGCGACCAGCAGGACCAGCAGGACCAGCCCAAGAAGGTCGAGGCCTTGGCGGGCCAGCGTGTCGTCGCTGTGTCGGCGGGAAAGAACCACAGCTTAGCCCTCACCGCCGACGGATCTCCATGGAGCTGGGGCGTTGGACTCTTTGGCCAGTTGGGCCACGGCGACGGGCAGGACCAGCTGCTGCCGAAGAAGATCGAGGCCTTTACTGGCCAGCGTGTCGTCGCTGTTTCGGCTGGAGCAATCCACAGCCTCGCCACCACCAGCGACGGCTGTGTCTGGAGCTGGGGCGGGGGAAGCGAGGGCCGGTTGGGCCACGGCGACCAGCAGCGCCAGCTGCTGCCGAGGAAGGTCGAGGCCTTGGCTGGCCAGCGCGTCGTCGCTGTTTCGGCAGGAGATCGACACAGCCTCGCCAACACCGTCAGCGGCGACGTCTTTACCTGGGGCGAGGGGGATCGCGGCTGCCTTGGCCACGGAGATGACCTGTCGAACCAGCTGCTGCCCAAGAAGGTGGAGGCGTCGTGCGGGAATAAGTGACGCATCGAGTTTCCGCGCAGAGTGGAGGGATCGTGTGCTGTGCGAGGTTGCGCGTAAATTCTTTTTGCTGTGCTAGACCTAGAGAGCCTTTTTCTTGAATTCTTTTGAGCTTAGCCTTCGATGTTATGAAACAACGCAAGGCGGACATGGCATATCGCTATCTAGCCCGCACACTCGCCGCACACCCGCCGCCCCCGCGCGCGCCCCAGACTGTCACAGTTTGGACGCGTACCTGTGTTAGTGCCAGTGCGCGCGCCAGTAAAAAAAGAAAGAAAACAGACACGCCAAACGAGGGATGGGACGAGGACAGGGTCCCCGCGCGCCACTCCCGTGCCAGTGTTCTTTTAAATGTGTAAATTCTTTTTGTTCAAGAACCACAAGTGCTGGCGCGAGGCGATTCGGTTCGTCGCAGTCAGCCAGGAGGGGGCTGGCGCCTTCCTGAATGCGATCCCCATGCGGGATGATATGAAGATGGAGACGTGGGCGATGCGCATTACAGTTCAGCGCCGCCTCGGCCTCCCGCTCGATGTTGCCTGCCAGGCGGTGGAGGCGGGCAAGAAGGCGCCAAACGGCAAGCCGCACGAAGAACTCGGCGATGCCGCAATGGTCAACCCGCGTGCGAAGCACGCGACACGACACAAATACCTGCTCAAACGACTCGTCAAGACCCTTCGCTCGGCGTGGGGCATGCTCATCGAGATGGAGCCGACTGCACACCTCAGTTACAGTAACCCAAAACAACCTGACGTGGCGGCGGCGAACATCGGCAAAGGGCATGTGCGCCTGGTTGGCGACTTGAAACTCACGAGCTCGCTTACGTGCAAGGGTGGCGATCGGCTCGGCTGGAAGGGGGCTTTTGTCGCCTTCGGCAACACCGAGCGGGCGCTGCTCGACTTAGTGTTTGGGCATGCTGCATGGCCGCGGCCGGAGGGGGGGGGGGGAGGGGGGGAGGGAGGCGGAGGATGCAGAGGCGGAGGCGGCGGCGGCGGAAGAGGAGGAGGGGGAGAGGGAGGGGGAGGCGGAGGCGGAGGCAGGGGCACCTGTGACGGCCCCCTACAAGAAGGGCGACTACCGGTTCGCGCGGGAGAAGAATTGCGACCTGCGTTTGCTCGACTTCGAGACGTTCGGCGGCTTCGGGGACGGCGTCCGCAGAATTCTTCGGCAGGCGGCGGACCAGCTGAGTAACAAACTTTCGCACGCTCAGCACCTCGATGAGGTCACATGGACCACCAAGAACTGGCACGGGCTGCAGATGCAGCGCTTGTCTGTCGTTCTCCACACCGCCGTGGCGTGGCAGACGGTGAACGAGCTAGCGTGCGGGGACAGCGGCATTGTGCACGGAGCTAAGTGCATTGCCGTTCTTAACGGAGTCGCTTAGGCGGCTCCGGTGGTGTGCCGGTGATAGTACTAGCACGCGCCAGTTCGCACCTGTGTCGAGCCTGTGTGCTGTGAGAGAGAGTTGCTTGTTTAGATTCTTTTGTTGCGCTGGCTATTCGCGCCGGTTGGAGCCCAACCCAGCGTGCTCGCGCTCAATGCTACCGCGCTGGTGCCGACGGCGCGTGCCGAGAGCCACTGCCCGTCGGCTCGGCACGCTGCCCTTTCGGATCCGTGCGCCGCTCGCGCGCCTCATAGAGCGCAAGGCACCCGCTGCCGAGGCCTTTCGCGCGCCGGCGCTCGGTGATGGCGAGGCGCTGACCTCGGCGACGGCGGCGCCCGACTACCTGGCACTCGCGCTCCGCTCGCGCGTGTACGACCACCTTGGCGAGACACCGCTCCAGCACGCGCCTGCTCTGAGCGAGGCTCTCGGCGCCTCCGTCCACATCAAGCGCGAGGACGTGCTTCCGGGCTTCACCTTCTATGCGCGATGCGCCGTCAACGAGCTGGCCACGCTCCGCGCCTCCTCCGGGGCGGCGCCTCCGCGGCTCGTGACGGCGTCGATCGGCTCGCGCGGCCACGCCCTCGCATGGGCGGCAGATCGGCTCGGTAGACCCTTCCGAGACCCTTCCGAGACCCTTCCTTCCGAGACCCTTCCGAGACCCTTCCGAGACCCTTCCGAGACCCTTCCGAGACCCTTCCGAGACCCGTCCGAGACCCGTCCGAGACCCGTCCGAGACCCGTCCGAGGCCCTTCCTGCCCTCGCCGCCGTCTCCACTCGCCTGCGAACGCCACCTCTGCCTCCACCTGCCCGCACCGCTGCCGCCGTCCCCACTCCCGCGGACATAGACCTCCGCACACGCCCACGACGCGTCCGCAGGCCTCGACCTCACCGTGGGGGTGCCTTCTGTTCACACCTTCTATTCACGCCTTCCGCAGGCCTCGACCTCACCGTGGTGATGCCTTCGCCGACGCCGTCGTCGCGCCGCGACGCGGTCTCGCGGCTCGGCGCCTCGGTCCTCATCTCCAACGGCGAGACGCTCGTCGCTTACTTTTCGCTCAGCGATTTCTTTTCTCTCTCTAGGTGCTCACTCACGGCGAGACGCTCGTCGACTCGCAGGGCGAGGCGGCAAGGCTGGCCGCCGAGGAGGGGCTCGTTGCGGTCGGCTCACACGACGCGCCGCCGGTGCTCGCCGCCACCGGCGCGGTCGGGCTCGAGCTGCTGCGGCGGCACGAATTAAGCATTCCACCGCTGAGTCATTACTGAATTAGGCACCGTCGGGCTCGAGCTGCTGCGGCAGCACGGCGCCGCGGCGGCGGCGCTGTCGCGCGCCGCGGAGTCTCCCCTGGGAGGGACGGCAGACGCACAGCGCGCCCAGTCTCCGGCGCGTGATACCGCACCACCCACGGGGCTGAACCCACCGGACTGAGCCCACGGCGGGTTCGGTACTATGGACGTATGGTAGTAGGGCACGCCTCTGGCGCGGCCTGGCGTGGCGGAGAGCGTCACTAGAAGCCGAACACGCATTCTTGCCTCCCAACCAGCGCTCGACAGGACACGGATTCCACAGTCTTCCGCCGCCTTCCGCTGCATTCCGCTGTCTTCCCCCTCCGTTGTGTTCCCGCCCTGATGTTGGCGTATTCACAGCACGTAGGAGAGCGGCCGGCCCGACGGCGTCTTCGTGAGCGTCGGCGGCGGCTCGCTGCTGGCTGGGGTGGCGAGTGTGCTGAAGAGCACGTGGCCGGCGACCAAGGCGAGATGCGGGGAGATGGGGGGAGATGCGGGGAGATATGGGGCGGTGGGGGGAGGTGGGGGGGGTATGGGGAGATCTGGGGAGGTATGGGGGGTCGCGAGGGGTACTTGTGTGTCTGGCGAGAAGTCGACCTTCCCCCCGACCCTAGCACCCCTACCCTAGCACCCCTACCCTAGCACCCCTACCCTAGCACCCCTACCCTAGCACCCCTACCCTAGGTGATCGCCGTCGAGCCTCGCTCGGCGGACCTTCTCTCGCGCTCGCTGATGGTTGGCACGCGCATCACCGACGGAGGGCCCGCCGAGCCTAGAAACCGAACACACGGATTCTTGTACTCCAGCCAACGCTCGAGAGGACACGGACTCGACTGTACTCGGTCGTAATCGCATTCCCCCCGTCCTCACGCGGTGCTCTGAGTACACTGCACACCCCTGTCTTCCCGCCCCCGAGGCCGTCTTCAGCACGCAGGCCCGCGGGTGAGAAGGCTGCGGAGGGCGTCGCCGTCGGCCAGATCGGACCCGAGGTGTTCCGCATCTGCGACGCACTCCCCCACATCTCCCCCATATCTCCCCATACTTCCTGCGTTATAGGTGTTCCGCATCTGCGACGCACTCGTCGACGAGGTACCGCACCACCCACTGGACTGAACCCACACTGGGCTCGATAGTATGGAGGTATGGTAGGTGATGCTCGCGCAGAGATACCGCACCACCCACTGGACTGAACCCACACTGGGCTCGATAGTATGGAGGTATGGTAGGTGATGCTCGCGAGAGATACCGCACCACCCACTGGACTGAACCCACACTGGGCTCGATAGTATGGAGGTATGGTAGGTGATGCTCGTCGGCGAGATACCGCACCACCCACTGGACTGAACCCACACTGGGCTCGATAGTATGGAGGTATGGTAGGTGATGCTCGCGAGAGATACCGCACCACCCACTGGACTGAACCCACACTGGGCTCGGTAGTATGGAGGTCTGGTAGGTGATGCTCGCGCAGAGATACCGCACCACCCACTGGACTGAACCCACACTGGGCTCGATAGTATGGAGGTATGGTAGGTGATGCTCGCGAGAGATACCGCACCACCCACTGGACTGAACCCACACTGGGCTCGGTAGTATGGAGGTCTGGTAGGTGATGCTCGCGCAGAGATACCGCACCACCCACTGGACTGAACCCACACTGGGCTCGATAGTTATGGAGGTATGGTAGGTGATGCTCGCGCAGAGATACCGCACCACCCACTGGACTGAACCCACACTGGGCTCGATAGTATGGAGGTCTGGTAGGTGATGCTCGCGAGAGATACCGCACCACCCACTGGACTGAACCCACACTGGGCTCGATAGTATGGAGGTGTGGTAGGTGATGCTCGCGCAGAGATACCGCACCACCCACTGGACTGAACCCACACTGGGCTCGATAGTATGGAGGTCTGGTAGGTGATGCTCGCGCAGAGATACCGCACCACCCACTGGACTGAACCCACACTGGGCTCGATAGTATGGAGGTATGGTAGGTGATGCTCGCGAGAGATACCGCACCACCCACTGGACTGAACCCACACTGGGCTCGATAGTATGGAGGTCTGGTAGGTGATGCTCGCGCAGAGATACCGCACCACCCACTGGACTGAACCCACACTGGGCTCGATAGTATGGAGGTCTGGTAGGTGATGCTCGCTGAGAGATACCGCACCACCCACTGGACTGAACCCACACTGGGCTCGATAGTATGGAGGTATGGTAGGTGATGCTCGCGAGAGATACCGCACCACCCACTGGACTGAACCCACACTGGGCTCGATAGTATGGAGGTATGGTAGGTGATGCTCGCGCAGAGATACCGCACCACCCACTGGACTGAACCCACACTGGGCTCGATAGTATGGAGGTATGGTAGGTGATGCTCGCGAGAGATACCGCACCACCCACTGGACTGAACCCACACTGGGCTCGATAGCATGGAGGTCTGGTAGGTGATGCTCGCGCAGAGATACCGCACCACCCACTGGACTGAACCCACACTGGGCTCGATAGCATGGAGGTCTGGTAGGTGATGCTCGCGCAGAGATACCGCACCACCCACTGGACTGAACCCACACTGGGCTCGATAGCATGGAGGTCTGGTAGGTGATGCTCGCGCAGAGATACCGCACCACCCACTGGACTGAACCCACACTGGGCTCGATAGTATGGAGGTCTGGTAGGTGATGCTCGCGAGAGATACCGCACCACCCACTGGACTGAACCCACACTGGGCTCGGTAGTATGGAGGTCTGGTAGGTGATGCTCGCGAGAGATACCGCACCACCCACTGGACTGAACCCACACTGGGCTCGATAGTATGGAGGTCTGGTAGGTGATGCTCGTCGACGAGCGCGAGATCGCCGCCGCTGTCCGCGACGTCTTCCTCGACACGCGAGCCGTCCTCGAGCCCGCCGCTCTATTTCCTTGTTGGCGCGCACCACTCCTTTTGCTCCTAGGCGCGCCGTGCTCGAGCCCGCCGGCGCCGTCTCGGTGGCCGGTCTCAAGCAGTACGTCGCCCGCCGCCCGCCAGCGCCGAGCGCGCCGCCGCCCGCGTTCGTCGCCATCGCCGGCGACGCGTCCAACATCGAGTTCAGCAACATCTGGAGCGTCAGCAGGTTGCTGAGGTGCTGCCGCATTTCTTCTCCTATGGCTTTTTTTTCTTGTTTCTAGGAGCGTCAACAGTTTGCTGGAGCGCGTCGCGCAGGCAGAGCGCACCCCCGCGGAGTAGACGGCGGCAGGCGGCGGCGGCCGAGTCTACGGCGGCTACGTCCTACGTGTACCGCTTGGTGTGATCGCGAGTCGACCGTTGCAGGAGATCGCCGACGCCCGGAGTATGCCACCGATTGCGCGACTGCAGTCGGCAGGGCTCTCTATTGCGTTTGCGAGACCCCTCGACCTCGCTTCTCGCGATCCCACCCCCGACCACTATCTCCCCTATCTATTGTATTGACCGGACTATTGTCTCGCTTGTCTTCAACTTGAACTATGGCGAATGCGTACAGACAGTCGTCTACAGTAATTATCGTGCACAGAGGCACAGTGTCTCTGGGTCTGTTTCTCTCGCACTGTGCAAGCTCCAGAATCCACAGACAACCCATCGAGAGCACTAAGAGAGCACACAAAACCGAGAAAGAAAAGACGTCACACCTTTACCGCCGCGAACGTCACCATGACTGGGATGGGGTCGTCCGCCGCCGCCCCCGCCCGCGTGCCGGCGCCGCCCTTTCCGCGCACGCCGAAGCGGCCCCGCCGGCGGCGCCTCCCCCAGAGGGCCGCACCGAGCACGACGAGCAGCGCGCCAGCCGCGCCGCCTGTTCACAGCGTGGCGCGTGAAGAGGCCCCGTTCACACCTCCGCCCCACACGCCACGTGGCAGAAGCGCCACCGGCGGCGCCAGCGACGAGGGCGGCGTCGGTGCTGCTCCCGCCGCCGGGGGAAGCTGCTGCGTCGGTGGGCGGCGGCGGCGGCGGCGGCGGCAGCGGTGGCTGCGGCAGAGCGGCCCACGCCACCATGGTTGTGACAGGTGGCTCGTTGAAACTGACCTGTTCACAGCGAACGCGGTGTGAAGAAAGCCACTGCCGCTCAAATGGCGGATTGCTAGCTACGGTCTGCGCCTCGACGCCCAGCTCGGCCTCCACGCCTGCGAGGAAGGCTGGATCCCTCGCGGCGGCCGTCACCTCCTCCGCGGTCGGCCCTCCCTCGGCCTGTTCACAGCAGTGCGCGTGAAGAGACGCCGCTCACACCGCATCTCCTCCGCCGTCGCCCCTTCCTTCCGCCGGCCTGCAGGACGGCCACCCGCACCTCGCGCCCACCGCGGTCCTCGAGGCGCATCCGCCAAGTGGAGGGGGGAGCCGACCCGCCGAAGATATTGGCGAAGGACGAGCGCACTGCCTCCTCGACGGCGTCGATGTCGAGGCTGTCCAGGGCGCGCTGCCGGCGAGCGTCGCCGCCGACCGACAGCGAGAAGGAGGAGGCGGGGAAGGAAGAGGCGGGAGCCTCGACTGGCAGCGGAGAGGGCAGCGGAGGAGAGGCGGGCGGCGGCGGCGGCGGGGACGGGGGCGGCACCAGGGCCGCGAGGGCGAGCACTTCGTCAACGACGTGGACCACGCCGTTGCAGGCCTGGACGTCTGCGGTGACCACAGTCGAGGCGCCACCGACAACGGTGGGCGAGACGAGGACGGAGCTGGTCGAGCCGTCGACCAGGACGTCCTCGGCGGCCAGGGTCGCCACCTGGTCACAGCGGAGGGGCGTGAAGAGCCGCTGTCCACGCGGGGTGTGGCGACCTCTGCGGCGGGACGGCTAGCACAGAGGCGGAGGAGAGCGAGAGAGCGGTCTGCGCTGGCACCACGGAGCCAAGAAGGTGCTTCCGGAGGAGAGAGGTGAGAAGGGGGCGGTCGGAGAGGACGCCGGTGAGATCGCCAAGGGCCGCAAAGGCGGCGTCAGTCGGCGCGAAAAGCGTCAGCGTGGAGTCGGGGTCCGACAGCTGCGCGAGGAGCGCCGGGTCGGCGGCCTGTTCACAGCTAGAGGTGTGAAGAGACGCTGTTCACAGCGGCGCGATGAGGGGGCGAGAGGCGAGCCTCCACTGCCGCGAGGAGCGTCGAGAGTGAGGAAGTCTCCGAAGCGAGCTGGGCGATGCTCTTGCATGAGGGAGGCGGCGACGGCAGCGGCGGCGGCGGTGGCGGCGGGGACGGCGGCGGCGGCGGAGTCTGAGGCTCCCCGGAAGGCACGCGAGGCGGGGCGCTGGGTGGCGGCGGGCTCGGCGGCGGAGGCGGAGGTGAGGGCGATGTGGAGGGCGGCGGCGGCGACGGTGTTGGGGAGGGCGGCGGCGGCGAGGGCGGCGCCGATGGCGGAGGAGGGGCGGGGAGGGGCGAGGGCGGCGGAGGTGGGCTTCCCGGCGGGGGCTCGAGCACGGTGTCGATGACGTGGATGACTCCGTTGCTAGCGCGCACGTCGGCCGTGGTCACCGTCGCGAGCAATCCCCCTGCGCTGTCCCGCACAGTCACCGCCGCGCCCGCGTAGCTGCCTCCGCCGCAAGTGCAGCAAGCCTGCGAAGCGGTCCTTCCTTCGTGCCCCTCCATGCTGCCGAACGAATCGCAGTGGTGCTGCGTCGTGAAAGCGGAGCAAAAGAAGTGGCTGCCCTGCCACGGGTTGTACCATTCGCCGTCGCTCACGCACGCACCCGCATGCTCCTTGCGAGCAATGAGCGACCGGCCGGAGAGAGTGGTGATGGCGGTGTCGCCAAACGAGAGGTCGTCCGACGTGACCTCCGATGCGATCACGTGCCCGAGCAGAACCTAAGTCGGGTATTGTCAGGGAGGTGCTACACACACAAGGGAGACCCCAACCTGCATCGATGGAGAAGCGCACGCCCTCGAGGCTGCAGCGGAAAATCTTGGGCTTGGAAACATCACCACATGTGCTGATGTCCTCAACGCAGGCTATTGCACCCACCCCTTCGCCCACGAGGCGTGCTGCGCCACGTGCACAGGCTTCCCTGTGGACGAGAACTCTCGTAGCGCACGATCGGAAAAATGTTGGACAAATTCAAACTGCGCTGCCAGTGCCTGCCCGCCTTTTACCATACCCCCATGCACCACCTGCTGCAACACGTGCTCTTCCCCTCGCACACCGGCGGTGGCCAGCTATCACTTTGCTGTCCCTGATTTTGGCGAACCTGCTAACCCAATGTGCAACCGAGGCCGAAGCAACTATTGGTACATCCAGGAAGAGTCGCAACGGGAGTGCTGCCACCAACAGCTCATTTACTGCCGAAACAACTGCTTTGCACACGCACAGTGCACGAATGACTGCATGGCCAAACGTGGGTGCGAAGGGCGCCAACAGTCCTACGTCATGCGCGGCCATTGCCCCGCGGATGATGGAGAGATTCACGGACTTGACGGGGTAGTTGCCTTCGGCACCTGCGGTGGCGGGAACGTCGGGAACGGGATTTGTCCCAACGCAGCGCAGTGCTGCAGCACTTCTGGACACTGTGCTCTCGACGACGCGCACTGCAATGGTTGTTGCGCACCTCGCTTTGGCTAAAGACAAAGACGGGGCTCACAAGTGTGGCTTGCCCCAGCATCAAATGAGAACCCAAACGTGGGTGCTACGGTACCCTCGCGCTCGCGCTGGCGTGCCACCATGCTGGCGCAATTCGATTGTGACGGAGGGTGTGTGGTGCGTGGGTGTGTATGTGCGGGACATGAGACGAATCATGGATGTCTGCTCGCAAGGCCGGCATAGGGCTGCGACGGCGCCTTCAAGACAGTGGCGGCCGGCGCGCCAATGTGGCGGCCGGAGGCCCAGGTCGCCTCGCGCATTGTACGGCTTTTAGGAGGGGGGTGGGGAGACATTAGCGATTAGGTGGGGGGCGGGGAGACGGAGACGCGGTTTGAGTTTATAGATGTCCGGTGTTTGAGATCTTTATACAGACGTCAAACACGAAACACCGCATGGCATCAGAAGTTTTATCTCTGGGCCCCGAAAGCCATCTCTAGCAGCGTCGTTACGCATGCGCGCACACACCACCCACAAGAGGGGGACCCCTTCTGATGACCCGCGTTCTGAGATCTTCGGCTGGTTGTCGTCTTGATTACAGTCGTCCATGCTGGCCTTAGCCTCTCTCGGCGCCTCGGCGGTGGCCGCACGGACGGCCGTGCCGCCCGCCGCCTCGACCGCCAGGCCGCGCGCCGCGCCCGCCGCCATGCAGATGCCCGACGAGTCGTGGACGTGGGAGGACGAGTGCGGCATCGAGCAAATCGGCGCGCCCGCCTAGCAGAGAAGGAGGCGGTTGAGGGCGCGCCGCACGAGCCGCCGCCCACGCCAGCCCTGCGCCGAGGGGAGAGTGCGCGCCGAGGGCGCGCCGCAGAGAGGACCCTCGCCCCGTCGCCTCGCTCAGGCGACTGCATGGCCAACGGCATCTCGCGCGAGGCGGCGGCGATGCACTCGCACCTCCGCAAGGGCGGGCGCGGTGGGTCGCCAATGCAGCCCGACTTTGGCCCACCGGGCGGGCACCACGCCGGCCGGCACTGGAGCGGCCACCAGCACCCGCCGCAAGGCGGCCGGCTCCGGCCCCTCGGCCGCGCGGCGCCGAGCCGCGACGGCGGTCGGCCCGGCGGCCGGTACGGCGGCGGCGGCGGGCCCCCGATGGGGATGCCGCGCGGGCCCCCGATGGGGATGCGCGGGCCTCCGATGGGGATGCCCATGCGCCCCCGGTACGGCGGCCCGATGATGCCTGACGCCCCTCCGCCGCACCAGTGGGGCGGCCCCCCTGCCCACGGGGCTAGCCCCCCTGCCCACGGGGCTAGCCACGGGCTGCAGCCGCCTATCTTTGGGTTTGAGCCGCTGCCCTTCGACGACGGCGCGCCTCCGCAACCGAGACCCGAGACGCCCGTGACCCGCCCCGCCGCCCCCGGCTCGGGCGCCGCGCAGACCCCCCCCCCCCCTCGCCCCTTCTCTCTCAGGCCCACAGCCTCCGGGCATCAAGGGGCGCTGGCGGTGGTAAGACGCGCCGCGGCGGGCACGAGCGGCCGACCGAGGCGAGCGGGGCCGGAGAGTCGAGTAGGTTGCGCGCGCAGCCAATGTCTGGCGCGGCGCGAGCTTTGTGCGGCGCGAGTAGCTCGTGCGGCGGTGAGGAGTGCGGCGGTTGTGGGGTGGTGCGGCGTCGGCCCTCTGCAGGGCCTCGCGCCTCTCGAGGCGGTCATGGCGGGGAGGCGAGGCGGGGAGGCGTAGCGGATTGGGGAGGAGCAGGCGCATGGGGAGGGAGGGCGCCGCGGCGACGCCGCGCTAGTAGGGAGCGCGAGGGGAGAGGCCGCGCAGGGGGAGGTCCACCCAGGGGAGGTTGTGCATCGACCCTACTAGTAGCTAGCGGAGGGTGTGGAGTCCCGGTGCGCGATGGCGGCGGACTGAGTTTTATCATGTAAATTATCTGATACATGTACGAAATAGTGGGCTAATATTGCGCGAACATTCAAAGTGAGAGTTACTCCCCGCCGGTTCGCGACTCTCGCTGTACCGCTCCTGTACGCTGAGAGAGCTCAGGCGTCAGAGCGCACAGCGCGGTCAGGCTCAAGGGAGCACATGAGCACAGCGAGGCAGCTTCGCGCCAGGGTTTGTGACAGGGAGTCGAGAGAGCCGCGCCCCGTGCGGCGTGCGCGCGCTTAAATTCTCTCTGATCTCTCAGTCTCCTACAGTCAGACACAACAGTCTCACCTATGTCTTTGATGGTCTCAAAAACTCAATCTCTCATATCTCACACTCTCATCCGGCGGCGTCGCTGTCCGTGCCAGCCCCCGTCTCCGTGCCGTCCTCACTCTCTCCGGGGAGGCTCTCGAGCCGAAGCTTGCGCGTAGCTGCGCTCAGCTCCAGCTGCAGCGCAGCGATAGCGGACTGCAGGCTCCGGCTCTTCTCCTCGAGGCTCGCAATTGCGCGGCGCGCCTGGATCAGCTCATCCTCCTCCTTGTCCAGGTCCTTCAAGTAGCGATCCGTCAGCTTGGACGACGCCACCTTCTCGAGTGACTTGATGTTCTCGCGGAGCCGATCCTGGTTCTTGAAGCAGTCGTTGATGTGCGCGTTGTGCGCTGCAGCCTTGCGGCCCGCCTCCTCTCGCGAGTGGTTGTGGTCGAGCAGCTCCTCGAGCTGCTGCAGCATCTCGGCCGGCAGGAGCGCGCCCTTGCGCCACTGCTTGAGCTCTTGCGGCGTGACGCTGTCGCGCTCGACCTTGTCGAGGAGTGCCGCGCGCTCCTCTCGCGCGATGAACGTCTCGAGCAAGGCGCGCGTCGAGGCCGCCATCACGCCGCTATCTGCCGCGCGGAGCTGCGAGTCGAGCAGCATGCGCAGCTGGCGCGCGGTCGTACGGCACGACGAGTGCGCTGCCGTCTCGCGCACGGTGAACTCGCGCTGCTCGCCCGGGGCCAGCACGAACTTGAAGCGAGAGAATGCCGTCGTCTTCTTGATGGCGCCCTCGGTGAGCACGGAGAAGCCGCCGCAGCCCGGAGCAGCCGAGTGGTCGAGGTATAGCGTCACGGGCGCCCCGCTCGGTGCGTTATTGCGCAGCGTGTAGCTCGTGGTGAGGTGCTCGCGGTGCGTGAGCCGGCAGCCCGCGAGGCGGCGGCGGCGGCCGCTGCTCTCTGCGGCGCGCTGCTGCTCGGCGCGCAGCCAGTGCAGCTCCACCTTCTCGACCGCCGCCTCCTTGTCGACGCGGCGCTCCACCGAGACGGTCGAGTCTTCGCCCCACGGGATGAGCTGCTCGTCGCCCGGCAGCATCGGCGTGAACGGGCACTGCGCGACGAGCCGGCCGCCCTCCGAGACCGAGCAGGTGCCGGGGGCAAGGACGCGAGTGGTGTCGTTGGTCAGATGGATGCAGCGCGTGGCGCAGACCTCGGACGCCTTCGGGTCGTACACGAGCACGCGGTCGCCGCGCACCGCGTGGCTGCCCAGCTCGACCGACGCCGTCTCCCCGGCGCGCACCGTGACAGCGTGCGGCACCTCGTAGATGACGTGCTCCGAGAGGCCGCTCAGAGCGACCGCGTCGAGGCTCTCGAAGCCGTCGCTGACAGGGTCACCAGAGGCCGGCCCGCCGCGCAGCCGCAGCACCAGGTGGAGCGTCGACTCCTTCTGGATGTTGTAGTCCGAGAGGGTGCGGCCGTCCTCGAGCTGCTTGCCCGCGAAGATGAGGCGCTGCTGGTCGGGCGGGATGCCCTCCTTGTCCTGGATCTTGGCCTTGATGTTGTCGATCGAGTCGGAGAACTCGACGTCGAGCGTGATTGTCTTGCCCGTGAGCGTCTTGACGAAGAGGTTGCCCGAGTCTGAGATCTGCCCCCACGCCTTGTGCTTGCCCTTGGACAAAGTGCCGGCGGCGCTCTTGCGCGCGCCGCTCTCCTTCTTCAGCAGCTGCAGCTCGTTGGCCACGAGCGACAGCGCGACGCCCTCCCAATCCTCCTCCCCGATGTTGGAGACGGTGGCAAACAGCCGAAGCCGGGCCTCGGCCATCGCCGCGCCGAGCGGCTCCGGCGGCACTTCGAGCCGGTACTGGCAGAGCCACTCCTTTGCGGGCTGCGCGTACGACACGAGCAGCTCGTCGAACGAGCCCGCCGCCTCGCCACCCGACCCGCTTGCTGCCGCCCGCGCGACGAGCGTCAAGTCCGTGTGCCTCTTGGGTGCGGCCGGCTTGCGCGCACTCAGCCTCGCGCCGAGCGCCTTGCGCAGGTCCTGCTGCAAGCTGTCGTCGAGCATGCAGATTGACCGCAGCACGTCGAAACGCACTCGAACCATCGATCCGCCGTGGTCGAGCACGACGAGCTCGGACCAAACGAGCTCAGCCTCCTCCGTCCCGGGCACCGCCCGCTTCTCCTTTTCCAGCAGCAGGAGCCGCCCGGAAATGGCCGACGCCGCCTCATCGCCCGTGGTGAGGGAGCAGTCGGCCCCGACCACCGAGGCGAGGAAGTCGCCGAGCGAGCTGCCGAGAGCAAACTCGTGGAGAGGCTCTCCTCCTGTACCCACCCGCGGTGCAGAATCTGGGTAGCTCACGATCACGCTCGCTGAGCCGGCGCTGACGTCGAGCGTCTCCATTGTGAGATCGCGCACTTCGTTCGGCACGCTGAGCCCAAACGAGGCCGTCTCGCCGCCGAGCGAGCCGGCGCGCTCGACGAAGGCGAGCGCGTTCTTGTAGACGGTCACCTTTTTGAGGTGTGTGCGAGCAGCAAGCATGCTTGGACGGGCTAGGACGCGACCAAAGGAGCAAAAGAAGAAAAATGAGCGCGGTGCGTTCCTCAGCTAAGGGGACAACCCAAGTCCCGGCAGCGCAGAACTTTCCTCCCTCGGAGAACCGTGTTATGGCCCTGCGACCGGGACCGCGCAGCGCAGGTCACAACTGGCATGAGCTAGCCGCGACATGCACATGGTCATCATGGAGCTCCCCATGTCGCGAGTTATCGCGCGCGTTTTTTCTTTCCACCTGTACAAACCGCTTTGCTTTTCTAAGCGGGCTAAAGCTCGCGCCTCGCGCCACATCAACGCGACGCCCCCTCACCCCTCCACGTCGAACTGCACCTGCAGCGCGAGCCGCGAGCCGCGGTGTCCCACCCGCGCCACCGGCACGGCGATGGCCGCGCCCGCGCTCCCGCTGCCATCGAGCAAGCTGCGCTCGAGCGCGGGCGCGGAGAGGGGCAGGTCCGCGTCGTAGAAGCAGCGCGTGAAGGCGCCGCCGGCGAGCCGCGGCGACGCGTCGGCAGGCGCGCCGCAGCCCGGCGCCGCCGGCCCAGCGGCGGCGGTCCGGGCGCACGCCGCCGCCATCGCGGAGGAGACCGCCGCGGGGAGGTGGCGGAGGTCTGCAGGCGCGTCGCCTGGAGGGAGGGCCGAAGAGGGCGGTGAGCGGCGCGGCGGGCGGGGCGGCGAGGCCACCCACCCACTCAGTGGGTGACACACACACCCTTCGGCTCCGCGACGCACTGCAGAAGGATCCGGCGGCCGCCGCCGCTGAGCTCCGGTTCTCCACTGTCCGGCTCTCGGCGTGGGGGGAGCGGGTCCGAGACGGCGGTGCAGCGGAAAGTAAGGCTCTGCGCCTCCTCCTCCCACTCCGCCGCCCGCGCCGGCACCGCCTCCCCCCCCGCGCCCTCCTCGCCCGCCTCCAGCTGCACCTCGACCAGTGCTCCCATCGGCAGCGCGCCGACGCGCAGCACGAGCAGCGGCGGCAGCGGCGCCCCGCCGCCGCCGCACCGCCGCCACAGCCACGCGTGGCACGCCGCGTGCACCTGCACCACGTCGCTCTCGCGCACCACATACGCAATGAGCGAGAGCGGGCGGCGAGTGCCGAGGCCGAGTCCTGAAAGGACGGCCTCGGAGTGGCGCAGCGCGAGCCGTGCCTGCGCGAGCGCCCCCCCCTCGACCAGCGCCATCGTGGTAGGGACGAGGCCGAGCTGGCCCGCGACGTTGCCGACGCCGGCAGCGGCCGTCAGCTGGCAATACGGCCCGATCATGCGCGGTGCCCACTCGGAGAGCGAGCAGACCCGGAGCAGCCGCTTCGGCGGGGCCGCTGCAAGCACCTCGAGGGCGACGCGCGCGCCAGCGGCCGCCTCGTGCAGCGGCAGCTGGACGCACGCGCGCGCTGCGGGCGTCGAACGCATCAGGCTCGCGTACGCGACGTTGAGGGCTCGGTAGTGTGCCAAGTCCGACACGTACAGGCGGACGTAGAGCACCTGTTCACAGCTAGAGGTGTGAAGAGACGCTGTTCACAGGTCCGACACGTACAGGCGGAGAGCACCTCTGAGAGGGATCGCCCCGCCGCAGACAAGGCCGCGGGAAGTGCGGCGACGGCTGCGCGCAGCTGCGCCACCGCAGCCTCCGCCTCCGCCCTCGCCTCCGCCTCCGCCCTCCCCTCCGCCGTGCCGCCAGCCTCTGCGGCGAAAGGTCCCGACGCGGCGGCGGCGGCGCTGCTCGGGGGAAAGACGAGCCTGCAGATGCCCGCCGAAGCGGCGTGCGCCCACCCGCCACCGCCGCCACCGCCACCGCCGCCACCGCCACCGCCGCCACCGCTGAGGTACGGATCGGCGGGCGGTGCACGCAGCGGCAGCCACTCCCTCGGCACCGCGGCGGCGGCGGCGGAGGCGGCGGGGGCGGAGGCGACCGCGCCTGCGGCGGCGAGCGAGGCGAGGGAGGCCGCCTCCTCCCCCTCCTCCTCCCGGTTCCGCTCCTCTTCCGCCTCTGTCGCCGCCGCCCTCCGCGCCTCAGCCCACGGCGCGCGCGGCGCGCCCGCGCCGGTTGGCGGCGCGGACTCGCCCTCCCCCTTGCCGCAGATGTCGACGCCGTCGGCCGCGAGCAGTACGACGGGCGCCATGCCCGACGGGTCCTCCGAGTGGACCAGAGGCCTGGCGCCACGCAGCACGAGCCGGCGGCGGAAGAGGGGGCAGTCCAGGGTGAGCGTCTCGTACTCGCCGCCTTCGCCGCAGACGTGGAACCCAAACCGACCCTCGAGGCGCCCAAACAGCGGCGCGAGCTCGCGGATCGACCTGTGCAGGTGCGAGGCGCCCAGCCCGAGAGCGGCCACCTTGACCAGCACCGCCTCGACGCCCGCCTCTGCCATCTCTGCGAGCAGCTCAGCCTGGTTGCGCTGCCACAGGTATGCGAGCGAGACAAGGCCGAGCCGCTCGCACACGTCCTCCACTCGGGTGCGCTGGTAGTTGGACAGGATCGCGCCGCAGCACACAGCCTCAAACTCGACCTCGGCTCGCGCCGCCTCGAGCAGTCGCAACAGGTCCTCAACCTCGTCGCCGTCCGTCCGCTCGTAGATGAGGCGCTGGTCGACCGCGTCGCCGGTGATCGGCGCACGGAAGAGGGGAAGCTCGAGGCATTCAGCCAGCGCCGGCACCAGCTCCGATCCGACAGTCTGGTACATGAACGAGTCCATCTCGCGGCCGTCGTCGGCGGGAGGGTGGAGGTTGCCAAGCGCGACGAGCTCGTGGCCGTGCTCGACGCACTTCATCATCGCGTAGGTGCTGTCCTTGCCGCCAGAGAGGAGAGCGAGGACTCGCATGTATCTTTGCCGTTGGTGGGACGTGACCTCTCGGCTTGCTCTCGGCTTACTACTCGAGGAGAGCCGCAGAAGGAGAAAACGAAGTGCGCATTGTCTCACAGAAGGAAGTATTCGGAGAGGAAACAAAACAACCCGGCGAAATGGAAGTAAAAAGAAAAACAATCCGCTCCGTACGCGCTGCAGCTGCACACCCACCGTGCACGGCGCGCTACAACCGTTGTTGATAGCGGGGCCGGACGAGGAGGATGTCGAGCAGCGACCCGCAGTGCACACCCGCGCAGCCGCCACCGCCCGATCCGCCGCACCAGCCGCCACCACTCGACCCGCCGCACCAGCCGCTGCACCAGCCGCCGCAGCAGAGCGCGGCCTCCGCTGCGCTAGCAGCGCCCGTCACCGGTGCTGCGGAGCCGCGGCCGCAGTCGCCGGCCCTTGCGGCGTCCTTCATCGCTGATGTGGAGCCGCGGCCGCAGTCGCCGGCTCGTCCGCCACCCCACCACCAGACTCTCCAGCAGCCCCCACCCCTTCTTCCCGACCCGCCGCCCTTGCTGCCGCAGCCCATGCAGGAGCCTCCGCCGCTGCAGCAGCAGCCACCCCCGCCGCTGCAGCAGCAGGAGCCTGTAGTTGCCGCGCAGCCGCTGCAGCAGCAGCCTCCCCCGCCGCTGCATCAGCAGCCTCCCCCGCCGACGATGGTTACGATACCGCTGCAGCAGCAGCCTCCTCCACCGCTGCAGCAGCAGCCGCCCCGGCTGCAGTGGCAGCCGCCTCCTCCCCAGCACCAGCCGCCGCCGCAGCCGCCGCCGCCGCCGCAGCCTCCCGGCGGCCCTGAACCTGTGCGCTGCCACCGGGGCGGTACTCTAGTACTCCGGCGGAGGCAGGGCGAGGGGCTCGCGGGGCGCGTGTGCTGAGGGGCCGGTGGGTGCCGTGAGCAGTGCACTCTACCGGCACCGGCGCAAACACTAGGTGTAGGTGATGTGTGAGAAACGCCCACCCACCGTCTAGTCTGGCTGTCTCTGCCTCTGTCTGGGCGGGATGTGGGAACCGGCAACTGACCGATTTCTATCAGAAAGAAAACATGTACACGACTCGATTCACGACCCAAAGCGCAAGGGTCGATGACGAACGACAATTCGAGCAGACAATCCTAAGTCGTCAACACTAAGGCGCCGTGCGGGAGCCCTCTCCTCACGCTGTCGGCGAGCGCGTCGGTGTCGGCCTGCCCGTGCGGGAAGCGGTGCCCGTCGGGAAACTCGAGGTACTCCGCCGACGCGTACTGCCCCGCAAGCTGGCGGCACCACTCGTAAAACGGATCGTCGCGGCCCTGCGCCACCGTCGCCGGGAAGTCGAGCGGCGCGGAGAAGAGGGGCGCAAAGGCGTTCGCGCGGACCGGCATCCCGCAGACGAGGACGTTGTGGCTCCACGACGGCGGTCGGCCGGCGGCGAGGTGCGCGGCGGTCAGCAGCGTGATGAGGATTGCGCCCTGCGAGAAGCCAAGCAGCGTGTCTGGGCGGTGCCGCTCGACTGCCTCCTCGAGCCGCGTCATCGCCTCCTCGGCGTGAGGGTAGCGGAACGTGACGCTCTCGTCCATCAGCGCCCGCAAGTAGGCAGCCGGCTCGCGCGTCCCCTCGTAGGCGTCGTGCTCGACATCGTACCAGCTGAGGAACGGGCCATCGAAGCGCGCGGCGACCGCAGGGTCGATGTATGTCTGCTCCAGCGCGCGGGCCGGACTCGGCGCCGCTGCTTCGCCCGAACGCCTTCTTGGCGTCCGCGCTGCGCCAAGTCGACCTTCCCGAGGCGGGAGCGGCGGTAGACGTGGGCTGCGGCAGCGGCCGCGACGCCGTCTTCCTGGCGCAGACGCTGGGAGACACGTGGGAGACGATTGGCGTCGACAACCACAAGGGCGCCCTCGGCGCGGGCGCAGCCATCAACCTCGCCGACTCCGACGGCTACTCCCCGCTCCTTCTCTCTGGCCACTCTGGTGCCAAGATCGCAAGGCCAAGGGCGGGGACCTGTTCCTTTTTTTTTTTTAAATGAACACACCTCTACATTTATTTATTTGTCCCTAAATCCCATCTCGTCTCAGAGTTTGGCTGTTTTATATATTTATTTATTTAAGAAGTCTCTACATCCGCGTTTCAGGTCGGTCTCCCGCCGCCCACGCGAGCAGCATGATCTCGTGTTCTTCCAGCGGACCCGGCTCCCCACCCAGCGCGACTGCGTCCAACTCCTCCTGCATTCGCTTCCCGTAGTGCAGACCCACTTGGGTATTGGCCTTACAGTAGCGAACGCCCAAGAATTTGGCGTCTACCGTCTTGACGCTGTCACCGTTGCTCATGGTGACAAAGATGTCCATGAAGAGTTGCCAGTCAGCAAGCGCGTTCGCCGGGTAGATACAGACGTTCGACGTTGGGAACTTTAGCCTCAGCCTGCACAATGTCGGGGGTGGCGTAAGAGGAAGATATGGCTAGGGGCCGCAAGCTTGCGAGTGCAGTCACGTCTCAAGCGCCAGCAGCTCGCCGATTTTTCGCGCTGGCGTGGCCTTTGTGGCAGGCTGCATGGACGCCTTGGAGTTCTTGACGGGCAAGCCACCTCCCCTAAAGCTCCGCGTCTCGCCTCCCTGCAGGAGAGCTATTGCTTGGAAGAGCAGGCCAATGCCTATAAGGTAGCTCACTGCTGACTGGTGCCGGTGGCGGAAGTTTGTGCAGGTGCTGTGTCTGACGATCCTACCGCATGGTCGCGCGGAGTCTCGGCGGAGTTGAACACCTAACGCGAGGGGAGAGGGGGAGTGAAGCGGTGGGTTGGAGGCAGCGGGTGGATCTCAGGGGGTTGCGCCTGGTGGGCTTTGGCGAAGTACTTGTCGGATTCGAGATGTCCAAAGAAGTAGTCGCGGTCTTGCCGAGCGGCATAGACCTGCTCCTTGGTTAGGGCCACGCACTCATCGCGAAATCCCGCGTAGCCTGGGTCCGTCACCAGGCACGTCATCGCCCGCGAACCGGCCGCCGGAGGGAACTGGACTCCGTGTGGAAGCGCCGGCCCTCCGACGAAGCCGCATGCTCGCGGCGAGATTGCGATCAGCTGATCGTGACGAAATCCCTTGCGGTGCATCGCCCACATCCACGCGGTGTAGTGCCTGATTGGCATATCAATCGCGCTGCGCTCCGCGTCCACGAGCTCATTCGGCCGAACAACCGCGTGGCTTCCTGCATTGCACGCCGAAGTGCAGAAATTGATGACCTTGGCGCCCACACGGTGGGTGGCCTGCAGGTCGGCCCGAGTGATGAAGTAAAGGGCGATCCACGAGGCGGGCTCGACGCTTCCCTGATGCGGCGGAAAGTCGAGCAAGTTCAGAATATCCTCGTCGCGCGACACAACCTCGCCGAGGTCGGGGTTTGCCCCGACGACGAGGAGATCCATGCCCTCTCAAAAGGAAGAATCTTACAACAACTCCCTCCCACAACACTGGGCACGGGACTGGCGCGCACTGGCACTAACACAGGTACACCACGGGAGCCGCCTAAGCGACTCCTGCGAGGGTGGCGAGGCACTTAGCTCCGTGCACCCGCCCACCCCCGCCAGGCAAGCTCATTCACATTCACGACCTGCTCTGCGATGGCCGTGTGAAGAACGACTGAGATGCGCTGCTTCTGCAGCCCCAGCCAGCTCTTGGTGGTCCAAGTCACCTCATCGAGGTACTGGGCCCGCGTCAGCTTGTTCTGGGAATTCGGCCAGGTCCCGAGAGCCATCCCTCCGTTGGGGTGTCTGTTTTCTTTCTTTCTTTTAGCTCTCACTTGCTGTTTTCTTTCTTTTAGCTCAAGAGTCAAGTTGCGACAAGCAACAACCCCTGTTAAAATCCCTCCGTGTCCCGTGGTCCTCCCTTTTGGCGTTTATTTTCTTTTTTGCGGAGATTCCCCGGTAGAACACTCAACGGAGCGGTGGATGGAGCGGTGAGGTGGAGCGCCTCGCCGGGGCGGGGCGAGGCTACGGCCAGGACGGGGCGCGAGGATGGCTGGGAAGGGCGCGCTCACCGGCTGCGGGGCGCCGCCGCTCGTCGTGCCCGTCCGGCGCGCCGCGCGGAGAGGGCGGCTCGGCGTGTTGCAAAAAGAGAACCTCGACGGCTTCCCGCCCTCCACCACCTGTTCACAGCCAACCGCCGTGAAGAGGCGCGGCTCCCAGCCGAGACGGTCACTGCCGCCTTCTGTCAGCCGCGCCTCCGTCCGTCCCTCGGGCAGCGGCGCTGGGCCGAGGGCGGAGGGCGGGGAGGCGGAGCCTGCTCACGTGAGCGGACGAGAAGGCGTGAGAATGTGAGAGATTGGTGAGGCGGTGGTGGAGAGCAGTGTTGGTGGTTGGGAGGGGGAGGGGAGGGCGGCGGCGGGCGCCGTGCTCCGGCGACTGCGAGTAGTCGTGATCCGGCGACTGCGAGTAGTCGTAGTTCTGTAGGCCTGTGGCCCCTCCTTGGCGTGCGTCGCCTGCGAGCCGGAGTGCGCGGCGCGGTGTGTGTGTGTGTGGTGGGGGGGGGGGGGGTAGGGGGTAGGGGGGGGGTTGGGGGTTAGCATTCGCCTAGAGCCGCTGCCCGTGGCGTCCAATAAAGATACCAAGTGCCGAGGGTCGGAACCCACGGGATCTCGTCGCCCCCTCCATTGGGGAGAGCCCACTCCATGGACGCCGTGGGCGGGCAGCGAGGTGAGCAGTGTGTAGCGAGTGGCGGGCATGTAGGGACCTGGCCGCGCGGGGTCTGCTCCAAAAGCTCCATGCACATGTCGAGGTTTAGGTTGTCGAGGTTGCGCCCGACCACAACGGATACTGACACCAGCACGTCGCACGACGCACGATGCTGGCGCCACCTTACTGCTTACTCGGCGCGACATGCCGACAGGTAGCGACCAACGTTCGGCTACTTACGTGCATCTTTCCAGCCGGCCCAGCCTTTGTGATTCGCGGGTGCTGGAGTGTGCGCAGGCACAGTGATCGTGATGCCATGCCATGGGATGGAGGCCTTCGGCGAGGCCACGGCCACAGGATGCGGATGGATGCCTTCGATCACGGGATGGATGCCTTCGACAGTCGGCACCCAGTGTCCTTGCGCGGCGCGCGCGAGCTTGGGGTAGCGCGCAGGCGTCAGGAAGCGGAGCGCCCGCACAACCAAAAGCGCGCGCGCACCCAGTTGCTCTACACCTCCCACCAGCGCCCCCGCAGTCACCGACCGGGCGCAGCAAGTTGTCAATTGACCGGCAGCGGCAGGTGAAAAGAAAACATCTTGGAGGAGGCGGCCGGTGCTGAAGGTGCCATGCGCATCTGCTCAATTCTTGGGTTTTGTTCGAGCTGCCCCTGCGATGTCAAAACGGGCCCAACCGGCCGCGTCCGCCAGCTCCTCTAGTGCTCCAGCATCGCATTTCGTCAGGTACGAACGCGAGGACGACGGCTCGCGCAAGCTCGCAGAGCACTTCGTGAAGTTTGTGGCCGAGCAGATGCTGGGCGGCATGGATCGAGCGGAGCGCCTATCGTTCGCGCCCTTCCAGCTTGGCTTGGACGATTCGCACGTCGAGGTGCTGGAGAACGTGGGCGTCATCAAAAGGAAGGACAACACCTTCCTCGCGGAGCGTGGCGACATCTTCTACGTCCCCGCAGCAGAGCGCGACCGGTGCGCGCGCGCGGGCGACGCGGTGCGCGAGCTTGAGGGGCGGATCGAGTTGGTATGGCAGGAGCCAGCGGCCGTAGAGGAGCGGCCGCACCAGGCCCAGCGTCTCGTTGAGAAGGTGCGTCATGCCGGCCGACTACCGCGTGCCGCCCCTCTACTCCCACCCCTCTCCCTCCTCCACGGCCGCAGGCACCGGAGAAGATGGACGCACTTGGGGGGGACGTGCAGATGTGTTGAACCCATAGGCGGGCTACAGCGGCAGCAGCGCTTCGTTGGCGGAGCCGCCGCTCGCGCTCTGGAGTTTGGGCGCGCCGGGAGGCCCGCCCGCGCTGCCCACGTCTCAGAAGACCTACAACTCACCGATGCAACGCCTGTTGCGCGCACCGCCGGGGATGGAGAACGGGATGAGGACGAGGCTGGAGGGGTCCGCGCTGGGCGGCATCATCGCAGCACCGGCAGAAGAAGGCTTCTCGCGGGTGGAGGTCATTGAGCACTGCGTGCAGGTCGCAGGCTTCGACATCGAGACAGCAGAGGGGGCAGAGCCACCGCCACTTTTCATTGCCATGACGAGCAAGGCGCCAACTTTCAGCGAGCGGGTGCCCCCCCCCCTTTCACACTCACACACACATGCACACACACACACACACACACACACACACACACACACACACACACACACACACACACACACACACACACACACACACACACACACACACACACACACACACACTCATGCACACACTCATGCACACACACACATGTACATGCCCCCCCCCCCCCCCCCCAAGAAGAAATCCTGGGGGTCTTGGTCCCCCGCGATCCCGACATCCACCAGCGTTTGGTGGGAGGCGGCGGGCTCACGGCGGCGGAGCTGTGGGAGAAGGTAGACCCGTTGGGGGTGGGCGACCGTTTCTCCCTGCAATCGCAGTACGGACGAACGCTGGTATCGTTCGTCAAGCAGGCGACCGGGGATTTCCCGGCCCACTTGAAGTCCTCAGAGATCGACATGTGGCAGTAGAGCTACCGTGTAAATTATGCGGCGTTTCACATGTCGAGTTTGTCATGCGGGGTATGCCATTGACATGACATTGGGAAATTCTTTTGACCCGGCAGAAAAATTCTTTTTTGAAAGGGCGTGCAATGGAGCAGCTCGCGAATCGCGAGTTCCGGCCGCCTCCACCGTTTTGGACCCTGAAGTCGCCGGCCGACCTTCCGAGCAGCACGGAAGAGGAAAAGACCATCAAGCGAATCGCGCAAAACCTCCCGGCGATGAACGTTTGGGCCGCGGATGGCTCGCCCGGCGTTCCAGTCGACGTCGTTATGATTGTCGTGCCAACTGAGGCTGTCACGCTCGGGCCTCGATGGAGCTCATTTCGCAAGAACGGTGGCCTGTGGGTCCAAAGCGATGCAGTAGACGGTGGAATTTCGACCCGTGACAAGCTTGATCTGCGAGAATTCGCAACCTCCTACGCGTCTATATTCAAGACGCTGGGAATGGGAAGCGAGAGTGTGGTAGCAATCGTGGGCTACCACGCCGACGCGTCGGGGATGACGGCCAACGGGCCCCAGCTGCCGCCGGACTTCCCCGCCCGCAATGCCCCCAAACTTCACTGGATGCAACCGACCTTCGCCCCGTTGCGGTCCTTTGTGATGGCCTCCGTTACCGAGCACTTGGTGAGCTGCGACCTGGGGGAAGTGCAAGTAACGTCTGGCTATGCGCACCTGCTCGCTGCTGCTCACCACTTTGAGGCATTCCGCCGCGGCGGCGAGGTCAACGGGCGCCTTTGGGGGGAGGGGTTGCGGAGGCAGACAACGGCCCGAGAGCACGAGCATCCCCACACGTGCCCCCTCTCTTATCTAATTTGCATGTGATAGGGTCATGCTCGGTAACCGCGACCTGCAAGGGTACTGGGGAGGCTCGATTTTGGGCGATCTCGGCGTCTTGTACGTGGCGACGGCGTTTGTGGCGTTGCGGGCGGTGCAGCGGGTCGTCAACCCGAACTCGCGTGGAGAGCTCGGACGGCCCGTCGACCTCATAATCGAGGAGGCGCAGCGCTGGCACCTGGACGCTAAGTGCCTTAGCCTCCACGCCCCCCGAGGCGCAGGCGCAAAGGGATGGGCGTTCGTAATCACCGCAGGCAACCATGGGGCGGCATGGGGATCCACTTGGGCATTCCACCGGCGGCGAGGGACGTGGAAGGCTAAGGGGTGCGGCCGGGCGGAGGGGGTGCAGAGGCCGCCGCAGATGCCATCAGTCGACCCGGCGGCGGGCGCGGCGCCGGTTTTTGGCATTGGATTGGCGCTGTGGGGATAAGTCATCGTTAGAGTGTGTACTGTACACAACAAGATCTGTCCAGAATGTGAATGATACTTGATACGCCTTACCGCTTACGCGACGCGAGGCGAGGTGCGAAGCGAGCCCATACGGCCGCCGCCGGGCTGGAGCACGCCGCTGCCCCAGGCGCGCTCGAGCGCGACTCGCAGCGCCACGCCGCCAGCCCGCCCGAGGAACACATTGGGCGTTTGGCACTGAAGAGCGACCAAGAGAAATACCTCGCGCTTAGAGCCTCTTCCCAGGACCCAGCCCATGCTTTGCTCATGCTTCGGTGTGAATCACGCCCCTCGCCCGCTGTGAAAATAGTTGGCGGTGGATTTTTTCGCCAGTCAATAGAGCATGAAAATACCTTTCAGACGGTACCTTCCTGTCCTTCAGAGTCGAAGAACTCGTCCTCTGCCCTCGACAAAGACAAACTCGGCCTCCGACTTTAGCGTGCGCCTCAGCTTGGCGGTCTGCACGCGCATGATCGCCTCGTTCGTCCCGCCGCCGTGGCAGCACAGGACGCGAGGGAGTGCGGCGGCCGCACCGAGCGAGGTTGCTGCGACGGCGGCTCTGGTGAGTCGCATGGTGCGCGAGCTCTGCTCGCTGAGCAGGATATTGCCTGCTTGTGCTCGATGGGACTCAAAAAAAAAATTGCTAGCTCAAAAAACCGGCACACCAATCTCCCTTCCTCTCTCTATCCTCTCTTGGAGCTCCAGAGTCCACACCCCCCTGCCCCGGGATCGCGTACAAGCTATGGCTACCGTAGGCCACACTAGCGTCGCTGGGGGTTCCCTGCCCTAGATGGGAAGCTGGCCGCTGATCCGAAGACCGACTGCACCAGGGCGCCTAGATATACTCGAGGTGAGCGAGGGTGAAGTTACGCCTTAAATGCCGGCCTCTCTACTGTGGACCTTACTCCGAGCTCGTTGGCTCCTCCTATTCCCCCACCCCCCCTCCCCCCCCACTCTCTCCGAGCAAGGGCGTGCGCTACGTCCCCAAGGGGGGGGGGACGTGGGGGGGAGGTGTGGCGCTTAGGTTGTGGCGTTTGGGTTGTTGTGGGGCACCCAAACGGTTTCGGTTTTCCTCCTTGGTGCCCCGAGTAGAGCGCGATCTCCCCTGGAGTCTGTCGCGCCCGTTCTGTCTAAGCTCGAGGTTCAACCTTCCAGTTGATCCTTATCGGACTGGTGAGGTCTGCCTAGCCGTCGTAGTGTAGTGCCTGGGGTGCGTCTGCGTCGGTGCTACACACACTCGGCAGGACGCTGCTCAAGGTCGTTGCTGCTGGTCGTCGCTGTTTGTTAAACGAATTTCGCCATGGTGTTTTTTCTTTTTATGCTTATGGCAGTAAAAAGAAACGGAAACGTGTGCGGCAGGCGCGGGCTCGGTCGATATCCCATACTTCGACTCACATCTTCACTGCTGCGGTGTGTGCCCGGGGAGGCGCGGCGGCGGGGTGGATTGAGAAGGTCTCAGAATGCAGAGAAGCTGCAGGCGTGCAGAGGCGCGCGCTGCAGTTTCTCTGATCGGGCCGCTGGCGGTGTGCGCGAGACGGCGTGGTGAGGCGTGAGGCAGGCTATTGTAGTGGGGTGCGGGCTGCGTCTAAGCGTATGCGTGCACATGGTGCTGTATGCTGTGTGTGCAAGCAGGCTGACAGGCTGTGCACAGCAGACTGGGCGGATGAGCGAGCGCGCGTGCGGGCGTGCGTGCGCGCCTGAGCCTGCGCGGTGCCGTCGCACTCGGACTCGCGGCGCGTCCTAGTACAGTCGCTTGTGGGATGCCAGAAGCAGTCTGCAGAGCCTGCACAGGGCGCAAAAAAGGCGCAGGTGTGCTGGTGAGGTGTGCTGCGGCGCGCGTCGCGGCGTGAGTGGATATGCGGCTTGCTCTGGTGGTGCGAGGGGCGCGTGGCTGGTGCGGGCGGCGCGGGACGGCCATGGGGCGCCAGCACAGGGCAGACGCACATGAGACACAGGCTTCTGGGCGCTACGCGTGATTGCGTGCGCGCGGGGACGTACGCGCAGTTTTCACGCGGTGTGCGTGGAGAAGGGCATGAGAGGCGCCGGCCGCGCGTGTGTTGTCGTGTGGGAGTTCGGAGTATGCCCGGAGGGCGTGCCCGTAGGCGACTAGACTTCGCACTGGCGCCGGAGGCCCCAGATATGGGACTCTTCGCGCCACCGCCAACCACTCTTGTTTTGAGCTTAGCCTTCGTGTTATGAAACAACTTGTTTTTTTTTTAAATGAACTCGGGGGCACGGGACGCGGCACAAACGGGGCACAAACGCCAGGCTACAAAGACGGGGAGGCACGTAGTGACGCAGGGGAGTCTAGGCGACGGCGGCGTCCTCCGACGCCGCGGCGAGCCTGAGCTCGGTCGCAATCTCTTCCGCCGCCGCGAGCTGCAGCGCGACTGACATGCGCTGGGCCTGCAGCGAAAGCCACGACCGCGTCGACCAGCTCGCCTCGTCCTCGTGCTGCCGCTTCGAGAGCTTGTTGCGCACCTTGTCCTTCATCTGGTAGAACAGCCGTTTGACCGCGTTGCACCACCCGCCGAAGGTTTCAAACAGGTACATCTGCACGTCGGTGTCCGAGCGCGAGAGGGCGTGCGCGTAGTCCGCCTTCTTGTACGCCACATAGCCGCCGCCGTCGCTCGGCCTGAAGTCGCCGTCCCCGACAGCGCCGCGCTGCTCGAGGCCGAAGACGTCCGCGCTCGTGCCGGGCTCGGTGTTTTCTTTCGCCCAGTACCTCGATGAGGTGACTTGGACCACTAAGAATTGGCTGGGGCTGCAGAAGCAGCGTATCTCGGTCGTTCTTCACACGGCAATCGCAGAGCAGGTCGTGAATGAGCTTGCCTGTGGCGGGGGTGGGCGGGTGCACGGAGCTAAGTGCCTCGCCACCCTCGCAGGAGTCGCTTAGGCGGCTCCCGTGGTGTACCTGTGTTAGTGCCAGTGCGAGCCAGTCCCGTGCCCAGTCCTGTGCCCAGTGTCGTGCGAGGGGGTTTCCTTGTAAAATTCTTTTTTGACGCTGGGGACGCGGGAAACGCGCCCGCCCCCTCCTCTTTCCGGTGAAGGCTGTGCATATGGACTCGCCGCAGGTCTACGAGCCACTCGAGCCAACGCTCAAATCGGGATGGCTGGAGAAGCGGCCGTCCGACGCGCTCCGCCGCTCGCTCCCGCTCTCGGGCTGGCGGCGGCGCTGGTTCGACCTCACGCCATCGCAGCTGATTTGGCGGACCGGCCCTGGGCAGGAGGGAAAGGGCTCGCTCCCGCTGGCGCAGGCGTCGGTCCACGCGCCGTGCGCCTCGCTCCGCGCGACGCTCGACGGCGAGATTGCCGTCGAGCTCCTGCTGTGGCCGTCCGGCTCCGACGGCGATCCGCTCCTCTTTAGCCTCACAGACTGCCAGGTTTGAGCAGCGTCGCACCGCCACGCCGCCGCTGCGACCCGCGTGCCGATTGGCCGCGACAGCCTCTGCCCTGCTCACGCTCGCCTGCCCCCCGACCGCCCGCCTGCCACTGAGCCGAGTCTGCTGCCCCTGCTGCCCCTCCAGGCGTCCGTGACGCTGCCCCTGCGCGCGGCGTCGGCGGATGAGGCGCATGAGTGGGCGAGCGCGCTTGCGTGCGCCGCCCGGCTCGCAAGCGAGGAGGCGTCGCCCTACCTGCCCTTCGAGGCGGGAGGCGGGCGGGCGTCCACGCGCAGCAGCAGCCTGCACACGCCCCACTCTGCCGGCAGTCCCTGCCGGCGGCAAGGCGCGGCCGCCTTCGAGGCGGCGCTCGAGGCGGTCTTCACGAGCGACTCGCCCGACTCCTCCCGCCGACTCCGACATGTGTATGTGCAGCCGCCGGAGGCGGACGTCTCGCAAGTGGCGGATGGCGACCCCGTGCAGGAGATCGCGGCGGGTTGCGGGACAATGCAGGAGGTTGTGAGCTCGCCGGAGCAAGACGGCGCCCACCTGCTGCGCGACGGATGGGCGCTTGGCACCGGCTTCCGCCTCTCGTCGCCTCTCCTCTCCCACCAAAGGCAATGCGGCGCCACCACCGCCCCTGCCACCTCCTCCTCCCTGCCGCCGCCGCGGCCAACCGCAACGTCGCCACAGCTCTCGCTGCCAGTCTCGTCACCACAAGTGTCTTCTTCTTGCGGAAGCGCGCGGTCGCTTCCCTTGCCCCGGCGGTGGCCGTCGCTGCCTTCGTCGCTGCCTCCCTCCTCGCCGCAGCCCTCCTCGCCGCCGCCCTCGTCGCCGCCGCTTGTGCCACTGCCCTCATCACCGCCGCCCTCTGTGCCACTGCACGCGCCGTCGCCGCCACTGTCGCTGCCTCCCTCCTCGCCGCTGCTTTGGGATGCGACGTCCGCGCTGCGTCGGAGCAGAGACCTGCCTCAAGCTCCCTCCACGCAGCTAGGCCGCAACGCGCCCGCCGCCACCGCCGCCGCCGCCACCGCCGCTGCCGCCGCCGCCGCCGCCGCCGCAACCACCACCCCGTCCACGCTGCCATCTGCAGCACGGCCCACGGCGCCGCTGCAGGAAGGTTCCGTGGAGCCTCCGGGAGGGTTACAGGAAGGTTCCGAGGAGGGCTCGGGAAAGCTCGGCGCGGCCCAGCAAGCGCTCACGCCTCTGAGCAGCCGCGTCGCTGCCGCCGTCGACGGCGCTATGTCGCGCTATGGGCCACCGCTTGCCCTCTCTTCCGCCCTCTCCCCCGCCCTCTCTCCCGCCCTCTCTCCCGCTCTCTCGATGGCGGCAGTTGTTTCGAGCGGGATCGGATCGCCGCGGCCGCCCTCGCCACCCCCGCCGCCGTCGCCGCCGTCGCAGCAGCCCTCGCCCCCCTTGCCTCCCTCGCCTCCCTCGCCCCCCTCGCCCTCGTCGCACCTCCTGCGCCCGCCACGTCTCTCGCTCAACGCGCCGCTTTCGCCATCGTCGCACTCACAGCTATCACTCTCGCCGCCGCCGCCAGTCTCGTCATCGCCGCCGCCAGCAGCGTCGCCGACGCCGCCATCGGCATCCAGCCTCGCCTCCACGCCCGCTGGCCGCCCCTCGCCAACGCCGCCGCTCGACCTGGTTCTCTCGCCGCCGCCAGACGCGTGCCCCTCGCCGCCGCCGCTGCGCTTGCCGCCCACACCCCAAGCACCGCAGTCGAGCCAGCTCGCGGCGCCGCCACGCAGCCGCAGCCTCAGCCGCCGCCGCTTCGCCGAGAGCGATCAGGAGGCGGCGGCGACCGCCTCAGACGCCTCCTCCCCTGCCGCGCCGGTCGCCGTTCGCTTGGCCGCATCGCTGCCGCCCTGGCGGAGGGAGCATTCGCAGCAGCAGGAGCAACCTAGATGCTGCAGACCCGCGTACTCGGATCGAGGACGAGCAGCGTATCGACCGGTACGAGCAGCCGCATTCCCTGGATGTTGCACGCCCGCGGTCCACCGAATGCCCTGCTCTGTTTTACCCACACGCCCTGAGCACCCTGCATCCCCTCGCTAGGAGGAGCAGCTGAGGCCCCCGGGCCGAGCGCGCTGTGTCGTTGAGAACTGCGCGCGCCCTGGCGCTGCATGGCCATCCTGCGCGTGGGCGGCGTTCTTCACAGCTTGTCGGTGTGAACAGGCATCGCTCGCGCCAGCGAGCTCGAGGCGAACGGCGCGCACCGCCTCGCTGCAGAGGCGCTGTTCACAGCTTGCGGTCTCGTGTTGTGGTGAGAACCGAGTCTGATCACGACGCTGGCTGTGAACAGGTGCTCGCCATCGGCCTCGAGGTCTTCAAGGCGTCCGTCGACCGCAGGATCGCCGATGTCGTTCCGCCGTCTGCTGCGCTTGCGGCGGCTTGTGTCGCCGAATCACTGTAGAGGTGATGTCAAGAGTCAATCGAAAAGCGGCACATCGGGTGCACCTTTCTACTGTGTAGCCTCCGCCCCCCACCGCTGGCTGAGTCCACGCGGGTCAGGGTGCCGAGCTGTTGTAAAAACGCTCCGTAGAGAGCCACCAGACAGACTGAGCCAGTGGCTGAGGCGCTGAGCCGTCAGTCCCAGGCCCCGGCGGGCCCCAGGTCCCAACCCCAGAGACCGCCTAAGCACCTAAGCGGCCTAAGCGGGGGGGGGGGGGGGGGGCGCTTAGGGTGCTTAGGTGCTTAGGTCGCCCTCGCGAGCGTAGCTACGTGCTGACATTATCATACGAGTGATCCATGGAGTGATCCTGAGTACCCTCATGGATATGCCTGCCTATCCATAGCCTATCGCTAAGTACGAGATTGCGGCCTCACAAAGCCGCAAGGCTTGCAGGTGTGTCGCAGCTCAGGTATGAGGTCCCTGGCTACGGGACGGCGACCTTCGACCTGAAGCACGAGAAGGCCGCGGGCGACCGCGAGCCGGTGCAGGCGGCGGAGCGCTCGTTCGTCGAGCGCACCGCGCCGCGGAAGGAGGAGCTGACGGAGGAGCAGAAGGATGCTCGGGCCGCGGCTCGCAGGGCCAAAAAGGCCCGGCAGAAGGCGAACAAGGCGGAGAAGGCTGCGGCGGCGGCTGCGAGCGAGGCTGAGCGTGCGGACTACCCGCACGCGCAGCTGCGCGAGAACGTCGAGTTCGTCATGGACGGCCTGGAGGCTGCGACGCAGGCGGCGCGCAAGGCGCAACCCAGCGGGGTCCAATATTCAGGTCGCCTACTCGCTGCCTCCCGAGGGGGGCAGCGGGTTCGGCGACCTGGTGTACGCCACGGTCCCTCTGGGCTCCGTGGCGACCAAGGTCGCCCGGGACTGGCTCGCCAACGAGCTCTACGAGCCGTCCCGGGGCGGCAAAATTGATGCGGCCTGCAGGGACCGAAAGGTCGCCGACCTGATCACGGCTGCCGGCGCCTCGGCGCCGGCCGACGCCGTGTTCGGCGGCAGGTTCGCGACGGGCGAGACGCCCCGCTCGACGACCTCCGCCTCCGAGGCGGACGAGGGCGACGGCGCCGGCGGCGATGGCGGGACCGGCTTCGACCTGTTCGGGCCGGACCCGGGCGAGTTATCACCCCCCCCCCCGCGGCCATTCGGCGGATAAAAGTTTATCGAACGAACGGGAAGGGAGCGGGGGGCGCCCAGTAGGGCGCCGGCGCCCCAGCGTAGAGGGCCTCGTGTAGCCCTCCTTTTGGTAATTTAAAAAGTTTATCGAAACGGCTTCGCTTGAAACCCGCCCGGTCTTGGCCGATTTCGCTCAATGTCGAGCCGTTTAGCCGCCCAAGCACCCGCCCCGCGCTCGGCCTAGAGTGCCCGTGCAAGTGCGCGCTCTTCAAGTTGAGGCCGACGCGACCCGGCTCCTTCGAATGCGTGTCCGCGACGACGCACCCGCCCCGCCCTTAGCCGCCCACGGAGCCATCTGCGCGCCCACCGTCGGCGACGCCACACCTCATTTGCAGCTACAGCCTTCCGATCATGGCTGCTGCTCGATGCACGGCGGATCGAGCTACTTCAGCACCACGTGCATCTGCGCCGCGCGAAATGTATCGCCCAAAACCAATCGCACGGAAATTCCTGGGTGTGTGGAGAAATCTACCTTACCTAACCTTACCTTACCTCACAAAGCTCACGATCCGATCGAGCCCTCGAATATCACACGCACGCACGTGGGGAGCTGGGAACGGCTACTCCCCTCGGTCGGCGTCGGCGACAAGTAAGTACGCAAGCAAGGGGAGAATCGGACTGGACACCGGCGAAGATAAGTTTGGTCCAGAAGTCATCAACAATCGTGCTGATAACAGAAGTTGCCTCGCCCTAAGTTCAGGCATCGTTTGCACTGGGTCCCTGCTTGAGTAATCGCTGGCCAGGACTTGCTCGACGACTCACCCAGCTCCCCGTCGTCGTAGTCGTCGTCACACCGTTCTCGATAGCCTGATTCTTGAGCCGCTCACTGAGATCGTTGGCAGCCTTCTCGTAGCGAGCCGCCCATCGGCCGCTTCTGGGCGTCCTTGTATGGGGTCTGCACACAGACATTCGTGCCATTCTTGCCTTTCCCCTGCACCGTCGACCAGGAGCGCCCACTTGAAGTTGCGGGAGTCGATGTTGTACAAAGCATCCGTCTCACCCCATGAGTTGGAGGCTTGCATGCTCTCACCACAGCACTGTCATCAGCGTACTGGATGCAGACCGCGTGCAACCCGTGTCCACCCACGCTCTTGGTGATCACGCCAATCATGCACAAGCCGTTGGCCCACTTTTTCATTGTGTCGTGTGCTTTGTCGAAGCTGGTAATCTTGCCTCCATGCTCGACTTTGATCTGATAAGCCTCCTTCTTCTCAAGCGTCGGGACCCATGCTTCCTTTTTCCCCGACACGCCGTTCCATTCCTCACACATCGCAAGCGGATCATGGCCCTCCCAGCAGTCGCACAGCGTCTCGACCTTTGCGAAAAGATGCGCTTGCTCAATGTACAATGACGATGCCATACTTGCTACAATCCGTTGACGACGACCGTCGAGAACGCGTGTCCACAGCACGTGCCGAACTTCCCTTGGTTGTTGTGGGGAGCCGCCATGCGAACTACCATCTGGACTAGTGGGGGCGGATTTTTAGACCTTGTAGTTGGCCCGACCGTCGCGCGCTGCGTCAGCTTTCGGCACGGGCCCGATGCGCGCGCTTGCTTTTTATGCTTTTTCGAACGGCTGATCAGGGAGCGCACGAAAACGAACGAACGTTCGTGAAATCCGGTCGAACTTAGGGGAAAAAGAATCTTAGGAAAAAGAAAATCGGCGTGAAAAGTACGTTCGTTCGGCGTGCAGTTCAGCCAAGAGCCGCAGCCTGAACGAACGAACTCGCGCCACTCCACTCATTCATGGCCCTGAGATGAAAAATTACGACCAATTATGTTAGTTGTTACCAAATCCACACACAAACACACGCTCAGCAACGCCGTCGGGGGCGGGCCAAACTCTCTTTTCGAGCGAGGTGAGCGTGCCGATGAAGTTGCTCGAGGTGTGATCAGGAGCTGGTGCGCCGAGGCCACAGACGCGTCTGACTCCTGCGGCGCGGCTGGCCACTACGTGACCTGTGGCCATTCCGGGCCCACGTGACTCGCCCTTTGACCCCTGTCCCACGCGCCCCCACACCAACCCTTCCCCGCTGCGCACCTCACTGCGCCTTCTTGTCCTCGGCGGGCGAGGGCGCGGCCGCCGACGCGCCGGCGCGGGTGGTCCACTCAATGGCACGTTGACGCCCTGCTTAGCGGGTACCGCCAGCAGGGCTGGGGTGTCCGCCCATGCGAGTTGATGCATGTGGTACAGGTGGCCCGCGATGCCGTGAATGGCGCTCGAGTACTCGTAGTACGGCAGCCCAAAGTCCTTCGCGCACTGCTGGACGACGGGCTTGATCTTGAGCTGGTTCTCGTACGAGAGCGAAGGGAAGAGGTGATGCTCGATCTGCATCTCGAGCATGCCAGTGATGTAGCAGAGCGCGCCGAGGGTACCGTTGAAATTGGACGAGGTGAGCAGCTGGTGGGCGCCCCAGTCGCCCCCCTCCTGGAAGCGCGCGTGCAACGCGTTCGACTCGTTGACGTGGGAGAGGTGGAAGCACAGGACGATGGTGAGGTTGGCCATGCCCACCGACAGCCCCGAAAGGAGCCATGCCTCGCCGTATGTATCCCGCGTGAAGAAGGGGAGGAGGTGGAGGGCAAAGAGGTAGAAGGTGCCCTTGAGCATGCTCGTGCGGCAGACGATGTGCTTGTCGATGCACGAGACGACCGACGCGAAGACGAGGACGATCTGGAGGGGGGCCTGGAAGATGTGCAAAGGCGTCCACGAAACGTCCTCGCACAGCCGGAACGGGTCCAAGATCTCATCTGGGTCGTACTCGTGGCGCTGGCAGTGGGGGCGGAGGAGACGACAAGGTTAGTGTAGGTGGGCATCCGGGGAGATGGGGGAGATGCGGGAAGATGTGGGGAGATAAGGGGAGGAGTGGGGAGATGTGTGAGGAGATGTGGGGGTTGTGTACACGCCTTGCTGTGGGGGTGGTGCTGGATGACGTGCTCGAGATGCCAAGAGTCCGATGGGAAGAGCATCGTCATGTCAAAGAACTCCCACGTGAGCCAGTTCTGCATGCGCCCGTGGATGGCCTCGTGGCCGATGCCCGTGAGGCACATCCGCGTCCACATGTTGATGAACGCGAGGGCAATGACGGTCGGACCAAGGGGGAGGAAGCATACAGCGTACCAGGAGCCGAGGAAGGCGCCAAACACGGCAGACACCTTGAAGACATAGGGCCACGTGACCGCCGCAACGCCCGTGGTCATCCCCATCGCCTGCACGCGCCGCTTGCACTCCTGGAAGAAGCCGTTCTCCTCAAACGTGTAGTCGCACGCCTCAATGGCGGCCACGTCATCCGGTTTCGGCTCGGCCACACGGTACTTTGCCAGGAGCGTCTCGGGCACGCCGCGCATGTGGTGCGAGTGGAAGAGCGCGGAGATGTCGGTCCCCATGCTCTGCGACAGCGGCAGCGGGCCGCCCGGGTGAGCCTTGATGAACGCCGTCAGGTCGTAGAACTGCGAGTCCAGCCGCCAGAGTTGCGGCGGCGACTTGGGCGGCTTCACCCGCGTGACGGCGGGCTTCTCCGACGGCGCGGGCGCGGGTGCGAGGCTGATGCTCGCGTCGGGGTCGACCGACACGGGAGTGGCGGTGGCGTGCGCGCGCAGCGTAGTCGGCTGCTCAGGCAAGGGAGCTGTTGACTTTACGCGTGGCCTGCCATCACTGCCCAGCGACAGGCACTGGGGCTCCGTCGCAATGAGCTTGCAGAAGCGGCCCGAGAGCATCATGAGGGCAAATGTAGACGCGACAAAGCTGAAATTGATGATCACCATCCACGTCCCGCCCGTGATGACGGTGCCGGCCGCGGTCGCCAGAGTTTGACACACGTCCCAGCCTTTGCCGGGCTCCGCTCCGGCGGGCGGCTGGAAGTTGCCGATCCAGAACGCTGTCGCGCCCGCATGCTCGATTTCCTCCGAGCTTTGCACGCATGCGAGAGCCGCGTTTGGCCCACACAGGGCCGCGCAGACCCAGTGCGTGGACGGCTCGGCGGTGATGTGATACGAGCCAAAGGCAAAGGCAGCGGCTGCAGTGTGCAGGCTCATCGCTCAAGCGTGAAGTGATTTTGCTGCGGTGTTTCTTTTTTTGTGTCCCCCATAACGCGCTGGTGTCCAGTCCGAGCCTGACTGTTCTTCACCTTTCTACCTAACCTAAACGTGCGTGACATTATTTTTTCACATTCTTTTCTCGCGATGACCACCCCGCCGCGCCGCCGCTCGCGCCGCCTCGCCTCCGCCTCCACCGCCGCTCCCTCGCCAGACGCGCCGCCGCCCGCCCGCCTGCTCGACCTTCCCAGGGAGCTCCTCGAGCGCGTCCTCTCCCGCTTCGACAGCCCCGCCGACATCGCTCGCGTCGCGGCCGTCTCGCTCCTCTTTCGCTCGCTCGCGGAGCAGGGCATCCGCTTGTGGGCGCAAGAGCGCGGCTTCGAGCTGCCGGCGCAGCCCGAGGACGAGGACTGCGCCGTGCGGTGGCTGTGCTTCGCTGCGTTGCTGCACGAGTCCAACCGGCCGGCGAGGGCGGGTGCAGGCGCTCGGCACAGCCTCTTCATCGACGGCGAGGGGCGGCTCTCGTCGTGCGGGTCAGCGGCAACGGAGGAGGAGGAGGAGGAGGAGGAGGAGGAGGAGGAGGACGACGACGAGGAGGACGAGGAGGAGTTTCCAGGCCTTCTCGGCCACGGTGAGGGCGTGCTGCGGCTCTACACTCCGACCCGCCTCCCGTCAACGCTGGGTGAAGAGCGCGCCGTGAGCGTGGCGGCTGGAGTTGGCCACAGCGTCGCCATCACCGCCGACAGCGCTGTCTGGAGCTGGGGTGAGGGAAACTTTGGCTGCTTGGGCCACGGCGACGCGCAGCACCAGCTGCTGCCCAAGAAGGTCGAGGCCTTTGCAGGCCGGCGCGTCGTCGCTGTCTCGGCGGGATACTTCCACAGCCTCGCCGTCACCGCCGACGGCGCCCTCTGGAGCTGGGGCTTTGGACTCTTTGGCAAGCTGGGCCACGGCGACCAGCAGGACCAGCTGCTGCCCAAGAAGATCGAGGCCTTCGCAGGGCGGCGCGTCGTCGCTGTGTCAGCAGGGCAGTATCACAACATGGCAATCACTGCCGACGGCGCCGTCTGGAGCTGGGGCGATGGAGACTGGGGCCAGCTGAGCCACGGCGACCAGCAGGCCCAGTGGCAGCCGAAGAAGATCGAGGCCTTCGCTGGGCGGCGCGTCGTCGCTGTCTCGGCTGGAGCCCATCACAGCTTCGCCATCACCGCCGACGGCGCTGTCTGGAGCTGGGGCGATGGCGATGATGGCAAGCTGGGCCACGGCGACGGGCAGACCCAGTGGCAGCTGCTGCCGAAGAAGATCGAGGCCTTTACTGGGCAGCGCGTCATCGCTGTGTCGGCTGGAGATGGCCACAGCCTCGCCATCACCGCCGACGGCGCCGTCTGGAGCTGGGGCGATGACGAGGATGGCAAGCTGGGCCACGGCGACGAGGAGCACCAGCTGCTCCAGCTGCTGCCCAAGAAGGTTGAGGCCTTTGCTGGGCGGCGCGTGGTCGCTGTGTCGGCTGGAGCACTCCACAGCCTCGCCACCACGGCCGACGGCGCTGTTTATGCTTGGGGCCTGGGCGAATACGGCTGCTTGGGCCACGGAGAGGACCGGTCGAACCAGCTGCTGCCCAAGAAGATCGAGGTGTGGTCGCGGGAGTGAGAAGCGGGGAACCGGGACCGGGGTGTGCGTGCGAGGGAAGGGCTGAACAGATGTCATCATGTTTGATGCTTCGTGTCCCCCTCTTCGGCCCCTTGCTCCCTACGACGATATCAATGAATCCGTACCCGCCGTCTACGAATGCAACGTTTGCACGTGTCCCTCACAGTCGCGCACACACACACCGCACACTTTCACAACTGCTCTCCTACACATGCTGTAGAGCCGTACTGGTCATCGGGTACAGACCATGCATGCCGCGGCTGAGCGCCCGGGCACAAGAGGAGGGCGCAAGGGGAGCTGAGGGGGGAGGGCAACGGCGGGAGCCGAGCGTCACAACGCAGCAGAGTGGCTGCTGCGCTGAGACGAGAGCGGAGGGCCGGCAGTAAGGGCGTCTACGCCCTTACCGGGAAGAGGGCGGCGACAGAGGGGGGAAGGAGGGGAGGAAGGGGAGGCGAGACGAGAGCGAGAGCGAGGGAGAGCTCGCCGGCGTCGCCTCCGCCGGTCGCAGGTGAGCTCACTTGTACTTCGACTTTGCGACCGAATACAGTAGAGGAAGGTGCCGGCGACGGCGATGGCGGACCCGGCGGCGCCGATGGGGGTGAGCTTGTTGCCGAAGACGAGGACGGTGGCGAGGATGATGCAGACGCGCTTGATCGTGCTTGCGATCGAGTGCGTGATCAGCGAGACCTGGTGCTGGTCCAGCGCGATGAAGGCAACCTGCCGGCGGGGGGGGGGGGGGTTGAGGAGGGGAGGTTGAGGAGGGGCATGAGGGGAGGGCCCTGTTGTGGTAGAAGCTCGTCCCGGCTCCCCTCGGCTTCCCTCGGCTTCCCTCGGCTCCCCTCGGCTCCCCTCGGCTCCCCTCGGCTCCTCTCCTGTGTCCCGGCTAGAGGTAGTACGTAGTAGTAGAGTCCGTCGAGGGCCATCTGGCGGGTGAGCCAGAAGGAGCCGACCTTTGCCGTGGAGGCGGCCCACTGGGAGGCGAAGGAGGCTCCCTCGTAGTAGACGGCGAAGGGGAGGGAGACAGCACGCAGGTGAAGAGCGGCTCGGCGGCCTTGACGGTCTGGGCGAAGGAGACGGTGCCGGCGCCGAGCGCGATCACCGCGCCGGCGTGGCCGAGGGCGCGTGCGCCGCGCCGATGGGGAGGAGCGTCTTCCAGCCATCCATGCCTGTGAGGCACGGGCCGGGTCATGGACGTGGCACGGCGGCAGCCCCGGTCTTCCCTCCCATCCTCACCGATCTTGGGAGGCTTGCGGATGCCGGTGCCCCAGAGGAAGAGGACCCACGGGATGCCGACGAAGAGACTAGGTCCAGCCCTGGGTGAGGCGGGTTGTGACATTTGGCGATTCCGCGACTTACTGGGCCCCTGAGCCGCTACCCGTGTGCGATTTTTGTGGCCCGGGCATGATACTGATAGTAAACGGGTGAGAACCGGCCAAACACAGGCTACAGCCCCACACACGCGCCCGCCATAGCTCCTGGAGAGCATGCGCGAGTGACGCGCTGCAAGCCGCGAGAGTGGCAAGCGGAGGAGCGCACGTTTCGCTGTATAGTCCTCACAGCTCCAACGCGTGTGCTCGCAATCTACGCCGCGGCCTCCGCCTGCGGCATTGCTCTTTGCGCAGCTCGGCGACGCAAGTCCATCAGCAGGGCATCCAATGCGAGCGCACATTGTGCGTACGCCGCGGGCAGGTGGCAGTGCACGGCCGCACACCGCTCCGGCTGTGGCCGCTCGTATGCCCCCGGCAGTGCTGCTAGTCATTAACTTGCGTATTGGGGCCGCGGCAGACTGCTGCTGTGACAGCAGCAGCAGCCTGCTGCTGCCTGATTCAGTCAAGCCAGCGGTGCAGCGAGGCGTGCAGAATTCGCGCGGTTTGGTACCTCCTGAGGCTGAGCGCATTCGAGCCCGTCGACCGGAGTTGGATGGTAACACGCGTCTCACTGAGACGCGGGGTACTGGCCATGGCCGGACTACGCGGAGCGTGAGGTGGCGAGCGGAGCGAGCGACAAAACAACGAGAAAAACACGGATCTGACGCGATGTCACAGAACGTCAGATCTGCCTCACCCTGGGCTGGACCTATCACCTAAAGCCGTGTCAAGAGAGAGCGAGACCACCGTCATCGACATCGTCCACGGCATCGGGAACGCGTTCTGGCACCGCTTGTTTGTGATATTGTACATGACGTTGAGAAATAAGGCCACGAGCGTCTTGCGTCCCGGCGGGCGTGCCACTCATAAAAATTCTCGCCCCGTGGCGCGCGGGACACGCACACGCGACGCGCGGCTGGAGGCTACTTGAAGGAAACCCACTCGTTGCTCTTCTGCGCCTTGAGCTGGCCGAGGGAGGGCGCGTTCCGGCGCGCCACCGCCGCCCTTCGCCGCTCCTCGTCGTCCGCCGCCTCCTTCCGCCTCCTCTTCTCCTCCTCCGCCGCCGCGCGCTTGCGCCGAAACTCGGCATCCGCCTCTGCTGACTGGCGCACCTACGCCACGACTCACCACCACCCAGGTCAGGGCAACGTCTGAGGGCGGGGGGCGCGGTGTCGTGTCTTCGCAGCATCGCACGAACGCACGGGGGGCGACTGCAGCGGAGCTACAGCTGGAGGGCTCGCTTGGGCGGCGGATGCTCTTGGAGAGAGCCGAGAGACAGCCGAGAGATGGCCGAGAGACAGCCGGGAGACAGCCGAGAGACCGCCGAGAGATGGCCGAGATACAGCCGAGATTTGGATGCGTGCTCCTCGCTCCGGCGCACCCGCTCAGCGCGCCTCCCCTCCTCCGCCTCCGCCTCCGCCGCCCGCATCGCGAGGAGCTCCGCCTGCACCGCCGCCCGAGATCACCCGACATCACCCGAGATTCCCCGAGATTCCCCGAGATTCCCCGAGATTCCCCGAGAGGAGCGCCGCCTGCACCGCCGCCTCCACCTCCGCCTCGTCCAAGTGCACCTGTTCACAGCAGTCGGTGTGAAGAGACGCTGTTCACACCTCCACCTCCGCCTCGTCCAAGTGCACCTGTTCACAGCAGTCGGTGTGAAGAGACGCTGTTCACACCTCCACCTCCGCCTCGTCCAAGTGCACCTGTTCACAGCAGTCGGTGTGAAGAGACGCTGTTCACACCTCCACCTCCGCCTCGTCCAAGTGCACCTGTTCACAGCAGTCGGTGTGAAGAGACGCTGTTCACACCTCCACCTCCGCCTCGTCCAAGTGCACCTGTTCACAGCAGTCGGTGTGAAGAGACGCTGTTCACACCTCCACCTCCGCCTCGTCCAAGTGCACCTGTTCACAGCAGTCGGTGTGAAGAGACGCTGTTCACACCTCCACCTCCGCCTCGTCCAAGTGCACCTGTTCACAGCAGTCAGTGTGAAGAGACGCTGTTCACACCTCCACCTCCGCCTCGTCCAAGTGCACCTGTTCACAGCAGTCAGTGTGAAGAGACGCTGTTCACACCTCCACCTCCGCCTCGTCCAAGTGCACCTCCTCCTCCTCCTCCGCCGCCGCCGCCGCGGCCGCGCCGCTAGGCGAATGCGCGCCTGCGGCCGGGAGCGGCGAGACACCCGTCTCCACCACACGCGGACGACTGCACACCCAGACCGGCGAAGGAGAGGGGGATGATCCTAACCGCCATTTCAAAGTTGCAAGGCCCAGCGCACTCACGTTGGAGGCGCTCTCGCTATCTCGGCTGCCTCTGTCTCGGCTGCCTCTCGGCTGCCTCTCGGCTGCCTCTCGGCTGCCTCTCGGCTGCCTCTCGGCCATCTCTCGGCTGCCTCTCGGCCATCTCTCGGCTGCCTCTCGGCCATCTCTCGGCTGCCTCTCGGCTGCCTCTCGGCTGCCTCTCGGCTGCCTCTCGGCTGCCTCTCGGCTGCCTCTCGGCTGCCTCTCGGCTGCCTCCTCGGCTGCCTCTCGGCTGCCTCTCGGCTCCTCTCGGCTCCTCTCGGCTCCTCTCGGCTGCCTCTCGGCCATCTCTCGGCTGCCTCTCGGCTAGCATCTCGCCGCCTGCGGACGCGGCCTCGCCGCCGCCCGCCGTCCCCTCCTTGACGGCCTGCAGCTCTGCCTCGGCCTCATCGCGGGCGAGGGCCCGCTTGGGCGGCTCTCGCCACCTGCTCACAGCTGCAGGTGTGAAGAGGCGCCGTTCATAGCTGCAGGGCTCGCTTGGGCGGCGGATGCTCTTGGAGAGAGCCGAGAGATGGCCGAGAGAATGGCCGAGAGGTGGCCGAGAGGTGGCCGAGAGACAGCCGAGAGACAGCCGAGAGATGGCCGAGAGGTGGCCGAGAGACAGCCGAGAGGCGGCCGAGAGGCAGCCGAGAGACAGCCGCCTGCGTATGATCTTGGAGGCGAGGGTTGCGCTGCTCCACGCCGCGCCGGACACGCGTGAGGCGAGCAGCGCTACCAGCTCGAGGGGCGGGGCGATCGCGCTGTCGTACGTGGCGGGCCTAGAGTCCGGGGTCCAGAGTCGGAGACGAGAGGAGACGCGGAGTCGGAGACGCAGAGGCGGAGACGCAGAGGAGATGCAGAGGCGGAGACGCAGAGGAGATGCAGAGGCGGAGACGCAGAGTCCGATGACCAAGCTGTGAGAGTGGCGAGGGTGAGGGGTGCGGAGACGGTGTGTCGTGCGGTGTGCCGATGGGGTCGATGTGGGCCTCCCGCGGCTCCCTGGCGTCACCTCGTGAGTACACCGAGTCCTAGCAGCGCTGCCTTTCTCCGGGCCGTGGATTCCGCATCTCTACCGGTGGACTCCGCATCTACCGGTGTCGCGGGCCCAAAGCTGCCGCGCAAGAACAGCTGCGCCCGAGGGAAGAGGAGCCAGGAGGCTGCCGCGAGCGCCGCCACGGTGGCGAAGAGGAGCAGCAAGGGCCACCCTCCCGCCTCCGCTCCTGGGCAGGAGGGATGCGGAGGTGGGCTCTCCGGACAGGGAGCCGACGGAGGCGGACAGCTCAACAGCGCGGTGAGGTCGGTGATCACCGGAAGAGCGGACAGCTGCGGCGGAGGCGAGGCTGACAGCAGCGGAGGCGGCAGCGGAGGCGGTAGCGGAGGAGGCACAGGCGGCGGCTTCCCGCAGCAAGAGATGAAAACGCCGGTGATGGTCGGGCAGCAATCGCCGGTGAGGCCCAGGGCGAAGCAATCGGCGTGAGAGGCGCACTTCTTGGCGAGGTCCACGGCCGGTGCGGCGGTGGCGGCAGCGGCGGAGCCGGCGGTGGCGGCGGAGGCGGTGGCGGCAGCTAGCTCACTTGCGCCGGCCGTCATGAATAAAGAAATCGCGGGTTCACTAGCGCATCACACCCCTCTCACGACTGGAAACAAGAAGACAGTGAGCCACCACAGGCGTCGTTGGCGCACATACTGAGCGGCAGCTGCGCTGGAAATAAGGAAGAGGCGCGTCACTTCATGCGGAAGCTCGATAAACACACAGCGAGGGCGACAGCAAGAGTTGAATGGGGGGGCGCCGGACTCAAAAGACACCGCCACATTCCTGAGACGAGCGAGGGCAGCCTCCTTAAAGGCGAAAGGGTCTAGATTTGGGGCGCTCGCCGAAGAGGAGTACGACAAAATAGCGCCCGTGATTGCCTGCACGCTACCCGCACTCCACGGACTCCATACCCGAAAGAAAGAGAAGGGAGCTCGCGGGAGAGGTGACGAGTGAACTACAGGTAGTGGGGAAGGCAGCCTCGATTGCCATACAGACATGGATGCGAAACAACGACAAGACCAAGGCACGGGCAGAGGAACGAGAGAAGAATATAGGGTGGATAAAAAAGCGCCTGTTCACGGCATGGAGGGTGAGCCACACCGAACGTACCGAGCGAAGAGCCGAGCGGAAGGAGGACGGGGAAGATGACTCCGAGGAGGACGAACCAGTGGAAATCCCGTCGTCAGCTGTCACGATGCACCCGAAGGGGACCCCAGCGCCAGCATCATCCGTGAAGGCACAAGTGTTCGAAGAGAGAGTGGACCTGAGCAACGACATGACTGGGTGGCAAATGATCGCAGTGGGAGTCAGAAGAGTCGTCCTTGCGCGAGGAGAGCTTGATAGACTCGAGGGGCCAGGATATGCAGCGAGGAGGGCGGAGCTGCGCCGAAAGGCGCAAGAAGCCGCGAGAACAAGGGAACGGCAGGCGGCGGCGGCGGCGCAGAACGAGACAGAAGAGAACGACGCGACAGAGGAGGAAGTGACAAGGGAGAGAGCGACGAGAGTGAGCAAGAGGCGTCGCGCCGCTCGGGCGTGCAGCTCGCCGCGGCCATATGTGCGTCGATACGGCGGGGCCAGCGCGAGCGGAACGGGAAAGGCGAGGGTTGGACCTTGTGTGGTTGTCAGTGAAGGGGGAACATGGGGAACATGGGGAACATGG